AAGACAATAGCTTTCGAGTCTATAAGAGTTGCTCGCTTGGCCGAAAGTGGTGATCTGCCGAATTTGGTTTTCTCCGATGAGAAAACATTCGTTGTCCAGCAGTTTGTAAACAAACAAAATTATGGTGTTTATTTGCCAAAGCGGTCAGCTGAAAATATGCACCTTCGGTTGGCCACCAGAACTCAAGCCTCAAAGCCAGCCATGGTGATGGTGTGGGCCGCCATAACAGCCGATGGTCGCTCTCCGCTCGTATTAATCTACCGTGGCTTCTGAATAAATGACGGATATTATCGCGAAAATATTCTGGAGGGTGTATTGAGGGTGTATATAAAGCCTTGGGCACGCAAACATTTTGGCCGCAGGCCTTGGACATTCCAACAGGACTCAGGACCTTCGCACTCAGAACGCGCCAACCAAGAATGGTTACAAAATGAGGTTCCTCACTTCATTTCACAATGGCTACCAAAATCTCCGGATACCAATACCAATCCGTTCGACTATTATGTCTGGAGTATTTTGGAAAGCAAGGTTGGCACTAAAAAATACCAAAGTGTCGATCACCTCAAGCAAGCGTTTCGCAAGGAATGGGCCAAAATATCGCAGAGCAACATTCGGGCAGCGTGTGACGCGCTTTCATTGGCCGTTTGAAGGCCATAATTGGTGTCAAAGGTGCCCATTCGAAAAAATCTAAACTTATTCTTAAATTTGATGCTATTTCCGACATTTTTTGCTTGCATTCAATAAAATTTAAAAAACATGTAAAAATGTTGGCGTTTGACTTTGTTGCAGTTTTTTATCTCAACCTGCATTGAACGATTCTGCTTAGTTAATTTTCATACAAAATACACATTTATTAAAAATTAAATGATTAAACCCTCTAAGAAATAGTCACATCTTTGCCTTTAAAAATCCCCATTTCGTATCAGAACAAACGCTTCACGCCCACACCAAAGAAATAATGCAATCGAAACCATTATTGGTCACTGATATTGCGTCATTATTAATAACAAATGACGACTAACCGGTCTTCTCCTTTGCACTTCAAAGGAAAATTCTTCAACTCAAAAAAAAAAAATAAATGAAAAAAAAATCCAAGCCATTGCCATAGTAGCCACTTCCGACAGCAATGTCCCAATCATCTGAAACAAGTAAATCATTGACATTTACGGCAATTTGTTGCCACAGAAATCAATGCGTCATAATAATGGCTTCCCAGGCACCAGCCATCGTTAGCTGCTAACTTGGTTTATTGACATTTTCCCGTTACAAAAGAAATTTTCCTCGAACTTTATGACAGGCCAATAATGTAAACACACAATGAGCCTTCGTCGTTAATAACGTCACACCATTTCCTTGATTCCTTTGAAATAACAACAACAACAAAATTCCAGCACAGGTTCGGGGGGATAGGTGGCTTCGTAGAATTTGTCCAGATCTCCTATTGCGTAAATAAAGGTCTTCTATGAGAAAACCACTAGGTATTCTATGTGATGACCTCCAGGTCTTCTATGAGAAGACCTCCAGGTCTTCTATGAGCAGACCTCAAGGTCCTCTATGAGAAGACCTCAAGGTCTTCTATGAGAAGACCTCAAGGTCTTCTATGAGCAGACCTCTAGGTCTTCTATGAGAAGACCTCCAGGATTTCTATAAGAAGACCTCCAGGATTTCTATAAGAAGACCTCCAGGTCTTCTATGAGAAGACCTCCAGGTCTTCTATGAGAAGACCTACAGGTCTTCTATGAGAAGACCTACAGGTCTTCTATGAAAAGACCTCCAGGTCTTCTATGAGAAGACCTACAGGTCTTCTATGAAAAGACTTCCAGGTCTTCCAGGAACATAACTCCATATTTTTTATGAGACGACCTCCAGGTCATCTGTGAAAATACCTCCAGGTCTTCTATGAGAAGACCTCCAGGTATTCTATGAAAAGACCTCCATGTATTCTATGAGAAGACTCCAGGTATTCTATGAGAAGACCTCCAAGTATTCTATGAGATGACCTCCAGGTCTTCTATGAGAAGACCTACAGGTCTTCTATGAAAAGACCTCCAGGTCTTCAATGAGAAGACCTACAGGTCTTCTATGAAAAGACTTCCAGGTCTTCCAGGAAAATAACTCCATATTTTTTATGAGACGACCTCCAGGTCATCTGTGAAAATACCTCCAGGTCTTCTATGAGAAGACCTCCAGGTATTCTACGAAAAAAAATCCATGTATTCTATGAGAAGACCTCCATGTATTCTATGAGAAGACCTCCAGGTATTCTATGAGAAGACCTCCAAGTATTCTATGAGATGACCTCCAGGTCTTCTATGAGAAGACCTACAGGTCTTCTATGAAAAGACCTCCAGGTCTTCTATGAGAAGACCTACAGGTCTTCTATGAAAAGACTTCCAGGTCTTCCAGGAAAATAACTCCATATTTTTTATGAGACGACCTCCAGGTCATCTATGAAAATACCTCCAGGTCTTCTATGAGAATACCTCCAGGTCTTCTATGGGAAGACCTCCAGGTCTTCTATGAGAATACCTCCAGGTCTTCTATGAGAAGACCTCCAGGTCTTCTATGAGAAGACCTCCAGGTATTCTATGAAAAGACCTCCAGGTCTTCTATGAGAAGACCTATAGGTCTTCTATGAAAAGACTTCCAGGTCTTCCAGGAAAATAACTCCATATTTTTTATGAGACGACCTCCAGGTCATCTATGAAAATACCTCCAGGTCTTCTATGAGAATACCTCCAGGTCTTCTATGAGAAGACCTCCAGGTCTTCTATGAGAATACCTCCAGGTCTTCTATGAGAAGACCTCCATGTCTTCTATGAGAAGACCTCCAGTTCTTCCAGGAGAAAACCTCCAGGCCTTTTATGAGAAGACCTCCAGGTCTTCTTTGAGAAGATCTCCAGGTCTTTTATGAGAAGACCTCCAGGTCTTCTTTGAGAAGATCTCCAGGTCTTCTATGAAAAGACCTCCAAGTCTTCCAGGAGAATAACTCCAGGTCTTTTATGATAAGACCTCCAAGTCTTCTATGAGAAGACCCCCAGGCCTTCTATGAGAAAACCTCCAGGTCTTCTTTGAGAAGATCTCCAGGTCTTTTATGAGAAGACCTCCAGGTCTTCTTTGAGAAGATCTCCAGGTCTTCCAGGAGAATAACTCCAGGTCTTTTATGATAAGACCTCCAAGTCTTCTATGAGAAGACCCCCAGGCCTTCTATGAGAAGACCCCCAGGCCTTCTATGAGAAGACCTCCAGGCCTTCTAAGAGAAGACCTCCAGGTCTTCTATGAAATGACCTCCAGGTCTTCTATGAGAAAAACCCCAGGTCTTCTATGAGAAGACCTCCAGCACTTCTATGAGAAGACCTCCTGGTCGTCTATGGGAAGACATCCAAGTCTTCAATGAGAAAACCTCCAGGTCTTTTATGAGAAGACCTCCAGGTCTTCTTTGAGAAGATCTCCAGGTCTTTTATGAGAAGACCTCCAGGTCTTCTTTGAGAATATCTCCAGCTCTTCTATGAAAAGACCTCCAGGTCTTCCAGGAGAATAACTCTAGGTCTTTTATGAGAAGACCTCCAAGTCTTCTATGAGAAGACCCCCATGTCTTCTATTAGAAGACCTCCAGGCCTTCTAAGAGAAGACCTACAGGTCTTCTATGAAATGACCTCCAGGTCTTCTATGAAATGACCTTCAGGTCTTCTTTTAAAAGTACCTCCAAGATTTCTATGAGAAGACCTTCAGGTTTTTTATGAGAAGACCTCCAGATTTTCTATGAGAAAATGTCCAGGTCTTCTATGAGAAAACGTCCAGGTCTTCTATAAGAAGATCTCCAGGTCTTCTATTAAAAGTACCTCCAAGGTTTCTATGAGAAGACCTCTAGGTCTTCTATGAGAAGACCTCCAGGTTTTTTATGAGAAGAACTCCAGGTCTTCTATGAGAAAGCTCCAGGTCTTCTATAAGAAGACCTCCAGGTCTTCTATTAGAAGACCTCCAGGTCTTCTAAGAGAAGGCCTCCAGGATTCTATGAGAAGAAATCTAGGTCTTTTTTCGATGAGATACAAATCTGTCGATCTAGAGAAGACCTGTAAACATCCTTCCATCAATTATACACCTATGAAAAGTATTTTTCTATAAATACTATGGTCCTACGGAAGTTCCTCTAAAGCCAGCCGATATTCCACACTCCTCCCCTCGCTGCCAATTTCAATTCCAGCAAATTAACAAATTGCTGTCTGAAGGATAAAGTTTTCGTGCACGCGATTTAATGCAACAAATTCTCATGCAAATTATTTTGTGGGCTTCATTTTTATTGTTATTTTTTAAGAAAACAAACACACAGACACACACACACATATGCAAATGTATGGGCATGGGTATTTATGTAGGTCTATTTATGTGCCTAGTCATGGCATGTTTGCTAACAAGTTATTTTATACAAAGTTGATGAATGTTAAGTGAGAATGTGGTAACAGAGGATACCAGCAACAACACTGTAATAAATAGAGTAAGGAAAAGGAAACAAAACACACATATACCCATCCATCTATGTGAGTGAATGCCAAGCATACATACGTAATGCTTGGCAATGAATGTCCTTGAAAAGCCAAGCTATAGGTTAAATGCAACCCATTCACAAGTTGTTAAGACAACCAATCAACAACAACGGCAACAACGACAGCAACAACAAAAACTCACAAGAAAACGCACTTTTGGTGCCCATCAACGGCACTCTTCTTCTCAGTTGGCAATCTCTCGTTTTCTCTCCTCTCCCCATATGAGATGTTTGCATAGAAAAGCCTTGTTCTCTCGCATTTTTTCGATGAGATACAAATCAATGGCGGTTGTGGTCGATTGTCAAAAGACTTCAAGGAGATTATGTGGGAGAGATAACAACAGCAAAAGAATAATAAACTCTCTTCTTGGCAACCGTTAAAGGAAAACGAAGAAAAAAAAAACGAAAAGACTCAACAAAAGGAAAATTTGAATATTTTGCAAATCAATAAACTTACCTTAATTTACACAAAAAAATAGCAAAGGATTATTTTCACTGGCAATTGTCGAATGAGACGGTTTTGTTGAACTATTTTGTGTTTTTTCTCTCTTAGTTGGATTTTTTTATTTACAGCCACACATTCGCACAGAAAAATGGAAGGAACAATGATTTACCGGACTTCTATTTTACAAATTAAAAACGAAACAAATCTGAATATTGTTTAAATCGAAGTGTAAATATTTAAATACAATTTGTTTAATAGCTTTTTTTATCGCGAACTTGAAATCAATTTAGTTATTTTTCCTTTCACTTGGATTTTCTCCTGTTAGTATCGGTATTTACTATCTCGTTGTTTTCGTTTTACTTGTGGGTATACACATAACAGAGCAAAACAAGGAGAGTACGTTGAAAGATATCTGAACCGCAGAGTACAGTGTGCAGAAACGTAATAGGATGGCGCCCAATGGATGGCAAACAATGAAATAACTCAAATGAGATCTCAAATAAGACCTCCAGGTACTCTATATCAAATAGATCTCCAGGTGTTCTGTGGGGAATAGGAAAACTTCTGGCCTTACGTAGAATTAGAAACCTTCCAACCTTTATGACAAATATAACAACTCCAGGTCTTCTATGGCGTTTAGCTCTTCTGTAACGAATAGAAGACGTTCGGGCCTTATTTGGCGTCTAGAATCAGATCAGAATACATCCAGGCCTTCTATGGCTACCAGAGGTTCTCCGGTCCTTCTACAAAATCTATAAGACATCTATAGCCTCTAGAAGCCCTCTAAGTCTTATATGGTGAATAGTAGACTTCCAGGTCTTCTATGGCGAATATTAGATCTTCTATAGCGAATAGTAGACTTCCAGGTCTTCTATGCGAATAGTAGGCCTCCAGGTCTTCTATGGCTAATAATAGATCTCCAGGTCTTCTATGGTTATAGTAAACTTCCAGGTCTTCTATGGCGAACAGTAGACCTCCAGATCTTTTATGGCGAATAGTAGACCTCCAGGTTTTCTATGGCGAATAGTAGACCTCCAGGTATTCTAGGGCGAAAAGTAGACATCCAAGTCTTCTATGGCGAATAATAGATTTCCAGGCCGTCTAAAACGAATAGTAGACCTCCAGGTTTTCTATGGCGAATAGTGGACATCCAGGTCTTCTAAAGCGAATAATAGACCTCTTTCTATGGCGAATAGTAATCCTCAAGCTCATCTATGGCGACTAGAAGACGTCCAGGTTGTCTATGACGGCTAGGAGACCTCCTGGTCGTCTATGACGGCAAGAAACCCTGAAGATAGTCTAAGGCGAACAGAATACCCTTAGGTCTTCGAAGGCGACTAAAAGACCTTCCGGTTGTTTATGGTGACCAGAAGTCCTCCAGGTCGTGTATGACGACCAAGTGTCCTCCATGACGACCAGAAGACCATCATGTCTTATAAGGCTAACGAAAGTCCTCCAAATCTTCTATGGGCCCAGAAGATTCTCAGGTCTTCTAAGGCCCCAGGTCTTTTTATGGACGATAGAATACCGCCAGGTCTTTTATGGTGTCCAAAAGACATGCAGGTCTTCTATGCCGAATAGAAAAGAAGATTCTAAGGTCTTCTAAGGCCCCAGAAGAGCTGAGGGTCTTCTAAGGCGTCCCCAAAATCTCCTGAATTTTTACGCCGTCCAAAAACGTCAAGGTATTTTTATGGAGAATGGAATACCTCAAAGTCTTTTTATGGAGAATAGAATAACGCCAGATCTTTTATGGCGTTCAAAAGACATCCAGGTCTTTTACGACGAATAGCAATAGATTCTCAGGTCTTATAATGCCCTAGAAGAGCTGAAGGTCTTCTAAGGCGTTCCCAAAATCTCCTGAATTTTTACGCCGTCCAAAAACGTCAAGGTATTTTTATGGAGAATAGAATAACGCCAGATCTTTTATGGCGTTCAAAAGACATCCAGGTCTTTTACGACGAATAGCAAACCTCAATGGCGATTAAAAGACTTCCAGGTATTCTATTACGACTTGAAAACCTTCATGTCTTCCAAAAAACCTCCAGGTCTTATAGAGCGTCCAAAAGTACTCCAGGTCATCTATGGCGACCAAAAATTCCAAGGTATTCTGTGGCGACCTGAACACATCCAGATATTATATAGCGACCAGAGGTCCTCCACGGGTTTTATGGAGACCAAAACACCCCAGGTCTTATATGGAGACTAAATGATCTCCAAGTCTTTCATGGAGCCCAAAAGACTCCCAGGTCTTCTATGGCGACTAAAAGACTTCCACCTCCTCTATGCCGACCAGAATACCTACGTGTCTTCTACGCCTTCCAAAAGAACTCCAAGTCTTCTATGGCGACTAGATTATCTCCAAGTCTTCTATGGAGATCAAAGGCCCTAGATGGCCTCCAAGTCTTCTATAAAGTCCAAAAGACGTTCAGGTCTTCTATGGCGAATAGAAAACTTTCAGATCTTATATGCACTCCAAAAGACCACCAAGTCTTTTATGGCGACTAAAAGACTTCTATGCCGACCAGAAAACTAACGTGTCTTCTATGCCCTCCAAAAACCTTCAGGTCTTTTTTAGCAACCAAACGACCGTCAGGTCTTCCAAAGCAACCAAAATAGCACTAGATGTTTTATGGCGAATAGAAGTGCCCCAAATTTTCTCTGTCGAATGCAAGACCCTCCGAATAGAAGACCTCTATGGCAAAAAGAAGATTTCATGGTCTTCTATTGCGGCGAAAAGACCAACGGGTCTTCTCTCGAGAATAGTATAGCTCCAGAGCTACTTGGGGAAAACGAAGACCTCCAGGCCTCTTATAGCGTATAGAAGACTTCCAGATTTTCTAATTTGGATTAAAGGACTGAAGGTCTTATACATCACACAAAATTGTTCCAGTTTTTTTAAGGTATGCCAGAGCACTTAGAGGGCCTCCACGGATTTAATATTTAAAAAGTTCTGCCTTATACATCGATTCGTGGAAAATGTCTTCATCAAAAGAAAACATCATTTATCCCTTAATCCACACACCAAATATCCTTTAAACCACCCACTCAGAAAAGTTCTCCGTTAATACTTTCTTCTTTAGCGTGATTATTTCACTTGTTTCTATTGTTGTTGTCATTGTTGCTTACTTTATAAATTCAATATTTCCACCTCTGAGGCAAACTCTAGGTGAAAATCTTTTGCTCAACTCTCCCGTTTTTCTTTTCGAAGTAATGTGTTAATTTGTTAACTCTTGTTGTTGTTGTGCCGTTTTTCACTTTGCTCTCCTTCGAGATACAGCTGATTAAATTTAGAACACTTTCGCTTGGCTCAACCGTTTTTACTTGATTCCGTTTTCCGGGCAAAGCCAACTACATTCGTTAACGGTTAAAAGTGAACTGAAAGTGTGGTCCAACAGTTTGCTCCAGACTTACTTTGTTCGCTGCTTCTGGGTTCTCACACGCGTCATAGGCATTAGCATGGTGGCCACAGACAGAGACACAGCCAGAGTGTGGAAAAGCTGAAAAAAGTCGGGACAAGTTTTCTAACTCCCCCACATGCGCACAACATTTTGGAGGAGCAGTAGCAGCGGCAGCCGCTAAAGCACAAGCTACAGATTAACCACAATTTCAGTTATCTGCTGCTGCAGCTGCAGTCGCGGCTGCCCACCACACCATGGGTGGTACATCCATTAGAAGAATTTTGCATTAATTTTTGGGTTTTAAGAGCCTCAGACAGACTCTGACGCCCCAGCGACATTGACATTCTCAATGGTTGATAAATGGCCAGTTTTGTGTCAATGCTGGGAGAAAAGAACATTCAAACATTTGCTTTAATTTAAATTAATAAAAATAAATGAATTATCGTGGACCGCTTTAGACAGACAGATTTTGATTATGTCAATCACAGCGGTAGTTTCAAAGCTGGGAAGATAAGTTGTTAGAACGATTTATTAAATGGAGCGGAATTTGAGACTTAAAATTTAAAACTAGTACACGTGTATGGGAACTAGAAACGGAAATAGCCACCGAGATTGACTCATCAAGAGGGTGGAGAACTAATAGGTTAGTTAGAGACATTCCACGTAGAATACCAAAGTATCAAATTTGAAAAGGCGGTCTTTTCATAGAAGACATAAAGGCGAACCCTCTTCTTCTGGAGGTCTTCTAGTGTCCATAGAAGAATCGGAGGTCTTCTAGTTCCTATATAAGGCCTGGAAGTCATATAGTGCCTTCAGAAGACCTAGAGGTCTTCTACAGCCCATAAAAGACATAGAGGCGGAGTCTCTTCTTCTGTAGGTCTTCTAATGTCTATAGAAGACTCGGAGGTCTTCTAGTGTCTGTTTAAGGGCTGGAGGTCTTCTAGTGCTTATAGAAGTCCCGGACATCCTCTTGTGTCTATAGAAGACCTAGAAGTCTTCTAGTGCCTATAGAAGACACAGAGGACTTCTAATGCCTATAGAAAACCTGGAGGTCTGCTAATGTCTATAGAAGACCTGGAGGTCTTCTATTGTACATAGATGAACTGGAGATCTTCCAAGTGTCTATAAAAGATCTGGTGATCTTACATTGTCTTTTAGTGCCTAAAGAAGACCTGGTGGTCTTCTAGTACCTATAAAAGACCTGGAGGTTTTTTAGTACCTATAGAAGAATCGGTGGTCTTTTACAGCCTATAGAAGCTCTGGAGGACTTTTATTGTCTATAGATGACCTAGAGATCTTCTAGTGCTTATATAAGGTTTTCTAGTATCTATAGAAGACCTGGGGGACTGCTAGTGTATATAAATGAGCTGGTGGTCTTCTAGTGCCCAAAGAAGACCTGGAGGTCTTCTATTGCCTATAGAACACCTGGAGGTCTTTTATTGCCTATAGAAGAGCTGGAGGTCTTCTATTGCCTATAGAAGAGTTGGAGGTCTTCTATTGCCTATAGAAGAGCTGGAGCTCTTCTATTGCCTATAGAAGAGCTGGGGCTCTTCTATTGTCTATAGAAGAGCTGGAGCTCTTCTATTGTCTATAGTAGAGCTGGAGGACTTATATTGTCTATAGAAGAGCTGGAGGACTTCTATTGCCTATAGAAGAGCTGAAGGACTTATATTGCTTTAGAAGAGCTGAAGGACTTCTATTGTCTTTAGAAGAGCTGAAGGACTTCTATTGCCCATAGAAGACCTGGAGGTCTTCTAGTGCCCATAGATGACCTGGAGATCTTCTATTGCCCATAGATGGCCTGGAGATCTTCTATTGCTCATAGATGGCCTGGAGATCTTCTATTGCTCATAGATGACCTGGAGATTTTCTAAGACCTGGAGGTCTTCTAGAGTTTATAGAAGTCCTGGAGGTATTCTAGTGCCTATAGAAGACCTGGAGGTCTTCTTTTGCCCTTAGAAGACCTGGGGGTCTTCTTTTGTCCATAGAAGACCTGGGGGTCTTCTTTTGTCCATAGAAGACCTGGGGGTCTTCTTTTGCCCATAGAAGACCTGGAGGTATTATTTTGCCCATAGAAGACCTGGAGGTATTCTTTTGCCCATACAAGATCTGGAGGTCTTCCATTGCCCATATAAGACCTGGAGGACTTCTATTGCCCATAGAAGGCCTGGAGGTCTTCTATTGCCTATAGAAGGCCTGAAGGTCTTCTATTGCCTATGGAAGACCTGGAGGTCTTCTATTGCCTATGGAAGACCTGGAGGTCTTCTAGTGACATTATATGTCCTGGAGGTCTTCTATTGCCTATGGAAGACCTGGAGGTCTTCTATTGCCTACGGAAGACCTGGAGGTCTTCTATTGCCTATAGAAGACCTGGAGGTCTTCTATTGCCTATAGAGGTCTTCTGGAGGTCTTCTATTGTGATATTACATTCTTCCATGCCTTCTAAAATCTAGAGAAGGCCAAACGTTATTCAAGTGCTATAAAAGATCGCGATATCGTTTATCATCCGATGTATTATCACATATTTCCTTCTTTAAATTTTCATTTCAATAGAAATATTTTTTACGGGAAGTCCAAAGTTCAAAGATATGTAAATCGAAAAATTCCCAATAAATATTTCCAAAAATTGGCAGTGATTAGAAGACAAGCCCAAAACAAAAATAAAAAAATCAACATTCGATTTCAATAATTAATAATACAGTCTATTGGCCATGTCTACACGCTCGCCAATATATGCCTATATAAACAACAAAATCTATCTGTCAAGACAAAAAATAAAAACAATAAAAACTATTAATTTTATAATACCCATTTTGCTTATTTACAATCTTTAAAAGAATGTTTATCATTTGTTGTTGTTGATGGGTATGTCGTTTTTTTGTTTCTTCTCCATGTCCCCAGAATTAGCCAAAAGAGATTAATTCTCACGCACATTTACAACTACTCAGAGCCAATTGCCTTCTCAGTAAATCATACTCTCATTGATGGCATTTCTCTCTTGGAACCATATCTCTTAGTTCGGTTGCTTTTGTAATAAACAAAGAGAATTTTTTGGGGTCTCTCCCCCGCTCTCTTCAAGATTCACCCAATCAAAACTATACGATTAGCTATTTTCCGAAAAATAATATTGACCAAGTTTTGTCTTGTTGTTGTTGTATGCTGTTCACACCGTCACAGACGACTGTCAGACACCTTCGAATGGTGACGACTTTTTTACTGGAGCACATTTTTTGCAAAAGTTATAGAAAAACAAAAAAGAAGAGATAATAAGCATTTGTTATGCCCCCCAGCAAACAACAACTTTTGCGAGTATTTTATTCCAAAGTCGAAAACATTAATCCCGCATGTCAGCACTTTTTGTTGTTGTTGATTTATTTTTGCATTACCCGGTTACATTGATGAACCTCAATCGGGGTTAAAGACAGATTATTGTTGACGTTTTTGTATCAATGGTTATTTGTTGCTGTTGCAATGATGGATTTTTCTTCTTTTTCGTGAATACAGGAACATTCTTATCATCTCTCAGTCAGACGTGACCGATTAATATAGGCAGGACCCCAGAGAGAAGAGTGACGGAATTTGCATAGGCAAGTATACTATTATTGATATTCGCAAGGAAACAGCAAAGAAGGCGTCCAGGTCTAAGAGAAATAATACGAATCTAAGAAAAATCAAAAATGACCTCCTAGTTGAGAATGAAACCTATTCCGATCTCTTGTAAACTAGAAGTAAGCTAAGGTTTTTCAAGAGATCTGTTAGAGGTAACACAATAATAGTCCTTCTTTAGACAATAGAAGACATCCAGACGTGCATTAGAAGACCTTCTGGTCATTTACGGCCAATAGAAGACCTTCCGGGCTTCTACGTTCAACAGAAGAGCTCCTGTACGGCAACATAAGACCTCTTGGCCTTCTATGGACAATTGAAAACCTCTTGGTTTTTTATGGTAAAACCTTCTGAATTTATGTGGGCAATATAAGACCTCTTGTCCGTCTATGGGCAATTCAGAACCTCTGGGTCTCCTATGGCCAATAGAAGGCCTCTGGGTTTTCTATGGAGAAAGAAAGGCCTTCAGGTGTTCAATGGCGAAAAGAAGGCCATCAGGTCTTCTACGGCGAATAGAAGGTCTTCAGGTACTGTACGGCGAATAGAAGGCTTTCAGGTGTTCTACGGCGAATAGAAGGCCTTCAGGTGTTCGACGGCGAATAGTAGGACTTCAGGTCTTCTATGACGAATAGGAGGCATTCAGGTCTTCCATGGCGAATAGAAGTCTTCAGGTGTTCTACGGCGAATAGAAGGCCTTCAGGTCTTCTGTTACGAATAGGAGGCATTCAGGTCTTCTGTGGCGAATAGGGGGCCTTCAGGTCTTCTATGGCGAATCGAAGGCCTTCATGTCTTCATGGTTTTCAATGACGACCAAATCATCTCCAGGGTTCAATAGCGACCAAAATATATTTATATGAAGAAGACCTCCAACTCTTTTATAAGCGAAAAGAATAGAAAACCTCAAGCTTTTGAATGGGCAATAGCAGACCTCCAACTCTTCTATAAGCGAATAGAAGAACTCCAGCTCTTCCAATGGCGAATAGAAGACCTCTAGCTCTTCTATGGCGCAAAGAACACCTTTAGCTCTTCTATGGCGCAAAGGCGACCTCTAGTTCTTCTATGGGCGAATAGAAGACCTCTAGCTCATCTATGGGCGAATAGAAGACCTCTAGTTCATCTATGGGCGAATAGAAGTCCTCCAGCTCTTCTATGTCGAATAGAAGATCTCCAGGTATTTTATAGGCAATTAAGGACTTCATGTTCTTCCCTTAGCAATTGAGGACTCCTAATCCTCCAGGGGTAATAGAAGAACTCCTGGTCTTTTAGGAGTATAGGAGACCTTCTGCCATTCTAGGACAATTGAAGACCTTCACGTATTCTATGGCCCAATGGAGGTCGTCTATTATTCATGGAGGAGCTGGAGGTATAATGTAACCCATAGAGGTTCTAGAGGTCTTCATTTTTTCTTTGAGCCACAGACGACCTCCAGGTTTCTCCTGCTCTTCCGTAATCCTTACATATCGTCCTAGCCAGTTAAAAGCTATAGAATGCATCAAGGTATTTTATAAGCAAGAATTATAGAGAGAACATAAGATACCCAGTCTCCTCTAGGCCATAATATATTTACGGAAGAAGGCACCCAGTCTTTCTACAAAGGGATAGTCGGAGAGGGTATTTAATGCACTAGAGTGTATTTAATGCACTAAATAATCTCAATACGTTTTTCTAACTGACAGTTAAGTCGCTTCTTCCAACAATTACAACAACAATAAGGTTAATATACCCAAGACATGAGCATTGTTGCCATGGCAAAATGCAAGAGCATAGCCAAGCCGTCAACAAGACTCATCAACAGACTTACAGCTGTTGTAGTTTCTGTTGTTGTTCCGCTTTACTTTTGTTTTGCTAGTTGTACTGGCGGCGGAAGATGCAGTCATTACTTATTACTACACATACTTTCACTATAGCGTCAAGTGGAAAAAGTGGGTAGACAAAAAAGGAGGTAACACTTTTTTCGGAACACTCAAAACACAATTGACATAAAATTGTTTATGCATTGAAAAAAAAAAACACTGGGTATTACTAAAAACCAAGCGAGTTTGAGATGAGACGATGATTCATTGACCTCGCTTCTAAAATTGTGTGACAGACAGGCTGGCTTACGACTGGCTGTCCGAATGCAAACGCAATTTGTTTTTTTTTTTTATTTCTACTTGCCTTTTATCCGGGTTGTTTGGAGGAGATGACGTTTTTGTTTGAAAATTATTTTATGACACAATATATTTTAGCTCTTCTTTCAATATATTTTTTTTATTCCAAAATTTTATTTCATTTTTCTTTTATATCCACATATATTTTGGTTTGGATTTTGCTTGGATTCAAGAACTTTCTGTGGCAACAAACAATATTTATGGTTATTTTGTTTTGTTCACTGAGGGCAGGAGAAGCACAAACAAACAATCAGACTGACTGACGGTCACTAGTAGTTTGTCTTTTTGTCATTGAGACACTGAACAACAACAGAAACCGAAAAAAAGAAACAACAAAGTGTTAAAGAAAAAACGACGCACGCCTTTCCGTTGTTTGCGAAGGAAGAAACACGTATTCACTGGTACTTGGTTTTGCTTTAACTGATTCTGCCTGATTCGTTTCGTCGTGATTCCGTTGTGTTATTTTAGTTATTTTTAAGTGAGTAATTCTATGGTGGCCAATAATAACAATGAGAGAGAGAGCAGAATCGAATCTCACACACTCAGCCATTCACTGAGTATGGCGGCATATAGAGAACCAGTTGGATTTTTTTTGGTAGGAAACCCGCATAATGTTCAAGCAGCGGTGCTCAAAAAAAAAATACCTCCCTTCAGTCAAATTTCTCTTTGCTTATTTAAATCAAGAACAAAACAGTGTTAAGTCATTGTTTATAAAAATATTATTTATCCATTTGCTTTATAAATTAATTTGGCAAACATTCGTGTCTAAAAACAATTTAATAGAACCGTAAAATATAAAGAAAAACAGAATTTTAATTTTCTCTTAAATTATCTCTTTTTTCGGTTCATGTTCTAGAACACGGTTTTGAGCACCGCTGGTTCAAGTCACATACGAGTCTGAGAAGGTTTGTTGCTGTTCACAAATTAGGAGAGTGATGAGAATTAACAATGAAGAGTGGATTTTGCGTTGAAATCTCTTGTTTTCAAAATAGGTAGTTAATGGCACCATGGGATTTGAATAGTTTTGTTTTGAAGAAAAATTGTAAAAATAATTTTATTCAGATCAGCAAAATAATGTGTTGTAATTTATAAAAGTTCTCTACGTAGCAAAAACTGAATGAGCCGAATATCCAATTAGAAGGTAATGTAAACATATTAGAATCAGCGTTACAAGAAGATATGGTTTTCTCCGATGAGAAAACATTCGTTGTCCAGCAGTTTGTAAACAAACGAAATGATCGTGTTTACTTCTAAAATCACCGGATACGAATCCGTTGGACTATTGTGTCTGGAGTATTTTGGAAAGCAAAGTTGGCACTAAAAAATACCAAAGTGTTGATCACCTCAAACAAGCGCTTCGTCGGGAATGGGACAAAATACCAAAGAGCAACATTCGGGCAGCGTGTGACGGTTTCATTGGCAGTTTGAAGGCCATAATTCGTGCCAAAGGTGACCAATTCGAATAAATCTTCCGACATTTTTTGCAATAAAATCAATAAAATTTAAAAAAAATGTAAAAATTATGGCGTTTGACTTTGTTGAAGTTTTTTATCTCACTCTGTATAAAAGTACCTCCCGATATTTCATATTCGTCTAAAAATTGGTATTTGTAGTTATTAATGGGTTCTAGCTCCGGTGGCGGAACATAGTATGTATAGATCCACGTTTTCGTATAGCCCCCATATAACGGTTCCTCCCTATATTCGGTACACAGATTTCTCTATGCGGCCGACGTTGCGCCGCTGCAATCGATGCGGGGTGGACTCCGAAGACGGCATTCATACTGCAATGCTTGATGGCCACTCCGACCTGACTGATAGGCTTCTTGATCTAAAGGCTCTCTCGCTCATAGCATTGCACGTCCCTCTCTAGATCAGTTATGTTATTCCTGACACGTCTGGGTGGGGGATTTTTAGCCACCATGATAGTTTGGATGACCCCCTCTATAACACTCATGCAGGTATTGCAATGAAAGTTAATGGTTATGCTGACGTACACCAGTGACACATGGGGTGGCTCCCTATTGCAGTTTTCAAGGCAACATTCTGGCATGTCTGGATGTTTTCCCACTGCGTAGCACTTATATTCGCAGACCACACTCTGCCTCATATCTGTCAAGAGACAGACCAATCGCAAGTGCTGCCGGTTAGAACCTTGAGGACCTACTATTCATTTCGTTGCACATAACAGTGGCTTGTGCCGAAGACTTGAACATGCTGTCCAATATGACACCTAAGATTATGGGGTAGTTCGTGTGTGGAAATTTTCCTATTCCCCGCATGGAAGAATACGGCAAGCTTCGCAAGATAAGTAATCAACCTTACACATATGACATCAAAACCGGGTCCCGACGCCATGATCTTACATTCATCCGCATAAGAGCGAGGAAAGCCGAAAATGTAGAGTTTAAACAGTTCCGGAGATATCAACCCACTTTGGGAAACTCCCTGTGGACTTTATTAAATACCTTTGAAAGGTCAAGGACTACCAACATTGATCGATGACACTACTTTAACTTCGCCTGGTTTACGGCTGAAAGTTAATTGCACGTTCAGCGATGCAATGTACTCCTGCACGGCGTCGTGGTTCGCGAGCAACTTCTCCTGGAGCTCCATCAACTCTCTACTGCTTCGACGAAGTTTGTCGTGTTGTAGCACCATATCATCCGCGTATTTTCAATGTAACCTCAACGGGACCACAGAAGTCTTCGCATACTATTAAGAAAAAACGTAAGGTCTACAATATTTGACAGATAATTGGTACAGGTCCCCTATTCAAAACAATTTCACATTAATATCGTCCATTTTAACCTGTCCTTAAGTCGTGATTCTTCAATATGACACTGATATGGCGTGCAATGCAGTCGTGGACGGAATTTGTGTTGTTGGTTTGGCACTTCCTGTGATGCTGGGGGGTCTTTGCTACTGGCGACAAAAGCTAAATTGGCCTATATTCTGCACCTAAATAGATAGAATTGTCGATTTCGGAGTGAAGATCAAGCAAAAGCGTACTAAAAGCTACAAAAGCCAGATGATCCCGCTTCAATTGATGCATTATAAGACAACATTTAAGCATTTATTCGGGAGATACTCTTAGAAATGTTGGAAAGAGTGTCCAAAAATTGAACTAGGTGGATGGATCATTTATGGTGGATAATCAAACATTCAATTATATGAACCGTATTATCAATTCAAATAAAAATTTCACGGATTTTTCTGAATTTCAAGTGTTTATTGAACACTTTCTTATAGCTCTTGAAAAATCACCTTTTTTATAACTGCAAAGCCTATCTTTATTTTATAGCATTTGAAGACTTTTTCCCAGATAGGACCGACTGAAATAATTTCCTTCATAAAAGTCTAAAAGTCTTTCATATACCTGGGCATTAGTTCCTCTATTTCTTTTACAGGTCATGGATGAAAGTGGGGGTTTTGAGATCGACCATGGCATAGCCGTACTACTATTTCCCACAGCGCATTCACTATTACTTTGAAGAAGTTTTTCTTTTAATTACAGAAGAATAGATTGACACCTCTTACAGCCAATCGATGTCCCATAAAGGTAAATAAAGAACATTTGCGAATTTCCTTCTTACCTTTTCATGCCATCAACGCAGCTATTTTTTCTGTAGAAAACAATCCACTTGTTGTACATTACTCGGTCACACTTTATGATAAGAATATTTATTGAGAACAAAAATTGATTTGTTGCTATTTCCATGTGTGGCTGGTGTATTTTCAATTCATCTCCATACATGGTTAACGGTGAGCGATGCGGTTAGAGACCAGCCACTTGTTTTTTCATAGATTTTTATTTATAGTCAGACTATGCAAATTATGTGGTGTTGTAAACATAAAAACAATATTCTTGGGAATGCCTACGCAGATATTCTATTTAATAGTAACGTAATAATAAAGACAGACGCATATAACCCGATCGCAGCAGACAGTAATAAATTATAGAGACTGCAGAAAACTGTTAGCCACGCGACACTACTGTGTTGAAATAATATTGCGCATTTGTCTTATGGCTGTTACCAAACGCGGTTCACAGCCTGCACTCAGAGACAAGTAATTTTCCGGTGAGGCCTTAAGCAGTGTCAAGATTTGCGTCAATGACGTTGTCAGAGATAAACCCAATTCCTCAACAACACTCGATAGATATTCAATATCAACAGCCAATTGTTTGGAGGAGGCATTCGATAGGGACTTGATTTGTAAGATTTGTGATTGATAGAGGACACAGCATTGAGCCACAACCAGTGAGAGTAGAATGTCGGCAGATGGTATGGCTTGGGCATATTTTATGTGGCACATCTCCAGAGCTTGTTTAAGTAGAGTTGAGGGCGAAAGCAGTAAGGGTTCTAAATGCTGTGGCAAAGTCAAAAGATATTGTCCAATTTGTGTAATACTTTCTTGGGGAGCAAAACTAAAGGCAGGCATATCTTGCATATGACCCTGCTGCAATTGGGCTGGTGGTTGTATTTCAGCCAAATGGGATTCCAACGGTTGCAGAAGTATATTCAAAGTAATATCATGGGTTTCACTAAAGAACGTTTTCAGTGATTCATAAATATTGGCAAAGATGCCAGTAGTGGCATTATCCTCCAAACGTTTTTGCTGCAAGTCTTCAATACTTTTTAAAAGCCTATGTCTTTCTCCGGAATCAAATGTTTGATAGATATTTAGATTCTTCCTTTGATTTTCTTCCAGTTTAATCTTCAACTGTGTAAGACGCTCCTGCAGGGTCTTTTCAAACTTCTGTAATTTCTGGTGATAATCCGCCAGACATTCCAGCAATGCCAAGGTGTACTGCAACATAGACCAATTACTATCCGAATTTGTTTGATTGGAGTTAGAGCCAATGTTTAAGGTTAATTGGCGCTGAGTTTTGGAAAACTGTTCCAGCAGACGTTTGAATATTCCACCCAGCAGATTGATGAGTTTGCACAGCGCCAAATCGTTGGTAATGTTCGAGCAACGCTGCAGGGCCTCATGGAGCCAATCGAACAATTTACTTGTGCTGTCCTTCAAATGCCGCACTGCATCACTGGCATGCGACTGAGAAACTAATACCCTATCCACCTGTGTGGAGAGATGGGTCTCCTCTAGACGTGGATACTGTTGTATGAATTTGTGGAAATATTCATAGATGGCATGGGCCAATTGTTGTTTCAAATCATCACTTAACTGAATGGAAGACTGTTCCAAGTAGGCGTTCAATTGCAATACAAAGCTGTGATTGGCTTGGGCGAATTGTTGTAAAAGATCCAAACGTTCATTACAGGTTTTTAATAACTGCAAAATATGATTATCCCGGGAGGGTTGTAGAGCAGGCAACAGTTCGGCCAACATGCGCAAGGGTTGTTGCATGGCATCTTCATCTCCACCAAATACCTGGCTACACCATTTGACTTGTTTTTGACAATTTTCCAAAAGCTGATCATAGAAAAGATTTAGGAAATGCTGCTGTTGGCCCGCCGTCTCTGTGGCCTGTATTTCCAGGGTTTGTTTCCATTGTTGTTGCAGTGCCGTCTTTTGTACCGTCGAATAGTATTGCAGCAATTGTGGCTTCCTCTGGATGGCAGCAAATATGTTGACATAACGCTGTGACTGTTCAACGTTGCCTTCTGCAAAGCATTGCACCAGACTGGGTGATGCTAAGGCTTCCAAACGATTTTTGAAGTCTTCAACTTGAGATTTGCGTTCTTCATGGCCTGGCAGCTGCTCTTGGGCTGCCAAACTCTTTTGCAATGCTGAGATTTTGTCGCAAACACTCTGTAAAGACGGAGAAAAAGGACGTGAGTAATAAAGTTTGGATTGAAAACAAAAAATGTATCGAAAATAAAGGTATGTACGGCCAAATGAAGAGGCCAAGATGATAGATTAAGCATCTCCTGAAGTCATGTCCTTCAGACCATTTCAAGACTACCACCAAATATATATTCTAAACAGCTCAGCCAGACTTTATTCCCAAACCAAATGCAAAAACATAAGTAACTCCTTTTGCTTTTCTATTCTTTGCTTCGAATCTTCTGTAATGTTAATATTCTATATATCATCCTTTCTTTTACTTTATATCTTCTTTCACAGAAGTATTTGCTTTCAGTTGTCCTATAGAAAGAATAATATTGTCTCCCATTTGCGATCCGTATTATGTGGATATGTTTTCTTGAACCCAATCTGGCAACTAACTTAAATAAAAAATTTGTCAGGGACTAACAAATCCATATTAATCCCGGATCTAATAATTGGTTATATTGCTCACATAAAAATAAATCTCACCTTCAAATCATTCTTCTCAAAACTGTCCTCCAGCTGTGACAGCAAATTACCCCAGCCGTCCGATTCCTGCAATGATTCCTTTGCCGTCTGCAGTTTAATTTGTTTGGAATTTAATTTTTCCAATGTGGCCATACATTCGCCGGTCTCTTCTTGTACGGCTGCCACCTCCTGGCGCATTTCCAACATACGTCCCTGCAGACTACGGACATCAGCATGCAGTGACTTGACATCTTTAACTATTTTAGGTAAGTTGGCCACCAGTTGTTGGCTACTCTCTTCGACAGCATAGTTTACTTGTTGTACATACAGCTGGAGTTTGGAAACATAGCTATTGATAAATTCTATGGCCACTTTATCATCGGCATCTAAATTTCTGTTGTTGGATTTATTATCTTCACTGTACTTTTTGAAGTTCTCATTTATCCAATCGACAGCATCGAATTTATCCTCGGAGAGGGCAGATATATCCATTTTCTTGGGGAGGTGTTGGGGACACTTATCTTTTTTTTTCTTAAAAAGGTCCTATTCCAAAGAAAAGTGTTTGTTTTGATTCTGGATTCTAACGTCAGCAATGGGTGGTTCAAATTGATTATTCTGTAAAGAGAATTTGGGAACTAGTTCAATCTTGCTTTCATAATGAACAAGTAGACACATGGAAGTAATGTACTAGTTCCCTTGAAAATTATAGGAAAATTCTATTATTTGTTGATTCTAGCTATTTTATTAAAAAAAATTGTTTATTTTAAGAAAAAATAAACAGATTCCCGTATACAATCCCTTAGAGTAATAATAATTATCAGTTGGGAAACCAGATATTTGTAGTAAATACCGGTCCAGCCGTTATATTTTAAAGAGTGATGTCAACCCTTAATTCAAACAAGAAAATGTATTTAATTTCTTAACGTTTTTAACCAAAGACATGTAAATTTTGTTATTTTTGTTAATTTGTTTTAATGTTTAATTTTAATTAAGATTTTTTAGATTAAGAATATTATAAATAATTTTAAAGTAGTCTTGTATAGAAGTTTTTGGAACCATTCATGTCCCTATGGACTAGTTAACTTAATTAAAATTAATTAAAAATCATTAGTCATTTATTGGAATTTTGTTGTAAATTTTTCTGGAAACTTAAATAATATATCTATTTTTTATTTTTAAAAAAAAGATATTTAAAATAAAAAACAATTTCATATTCTTGAATAGAGTAAAATCAGCTTCCTAGTTCTTCTGGGGACTCTGGTTAGAATTTGGGAATTAAAAAATTAAACACAGTTCTTAGTTTATTAATCTGGATCACAACCATTTGATATTTTTTTTATATTTAAAACACTTCCATAACCTTTAATAGTGTAATATTAACTTCCTAATCATTCTGATGACTCTGTTTGGGCTTTGGAAACTAAAAAATGAAACACATTCCTGAATTTATTAATCCTTTATTTATGAATTTTGCAAGACCTGTTAAAAAATACACACAAAGAAAGATATGCCATCAAAAATCATAATTCACGAAGTCGTATTAGTTCTTCTTGCAATTTGCAGGAGCATGGAACATACAAATCATCTAATATGAATTTCGATTTTGATATGGCTTTTGGTTCTAATTTAATAAGAGTTCGAAATTTTTCCACAAATTTTAAACAATTCAATTCCTAGAGTAAAGATAAGAGGCAATCGTTTTGTTATCTGTAAAACTAAACTTACCTCCGCAGATTTGGGGTTATTTTTGATCTTGTCGTTATATTCCTCGAAGAGTTTTTGAATAAATTCCTTTGGGCATGCCAGACGTAACTGAAAAAAATATAAAAATTCACATTTAGAAGATTTAATGGTCATCTTTTCGTAATTAAAAAGAAGATTTTATTAAAAGGCACTCAAGTCTTTTAGAAGAATATTGAAAGCTGGGTTCATTTTGGAGAAAGTCCAAAAAAAGTCGAATAAGTGATGTTATAGAGTACTTCAAAACCTTTATAGAAAAAGCTGTAGTTTATGCTTCTAAAAGTTTTCAAGCCCTTTTCGTAATTTTCGGACCTTCCAATAGAAGGTCTCATCGTCTTTTTAATAAAAAAATTGCAGGTGTATTTTTATAAAAAATTGTTAAGGTGTTTTTATAAAACCTTAAAAGTATAAACCTTAAAGTTTACTTATAGCTCTCCTTTAGAAGAATAAGGTTATTTTGCAGAAGATTTTGAGGATATCTTTAAAGAAGACGTCTCCTCAACCTTTCCTTTTCATTGAAGACATTTTTAAGATCTCCCTATGTTATGGGAAAGTCTGGGAAAGGAAGACATAAATCCATTTTGTGAAAATGCTTTAAGGTCACCTCCTTCTTGCCAACTTTCACTTACCGATGGTATGGGATATTGTGTTGGATTCTGAGCTTGTTGACGGAACTCATCCTGCACCATAGATGTTTTGCATACATCATCCTGCCATATGCCCTTTTGTATTTGACCCCTGTGCATGTGATAAAAAGTACCTTCACCATTCTTAAATCCCCTGGCAAAATATCCTTCATAACGGTTGCCATTGGCTAAAACAAAAGAAATTTTCAAATTATAATTTCAAATTTCCAAAAAGTAACTCCAAACTTACCATACAGCATCACTCCCAAACCATGGGCCACATCCATTTGCCATTCCCCCAAGTAAATATCACCCGTTCCATACCATTGAATTCCCAAGCCATGACGACGATTCGCCCTCCACCATCCATAATAAATGCTACCATCGTCATAAAATTGTTTGCCCTCGCCACATTTCTTATCCATCTGCCATTGGCCGGCATAGATCCTTTCCATAGTGCCATCATTCAAACGGCGACGCATCATACCCCAACCATGCCGCTTTCCTTCATGCCATTGGCCATCGTAGATTAATTGTTGCTTGGTTTCTTTCACACCGAAACGATGATGTTGAGATTTCAACCAATAGCCACGATAATTACCACCACCAGGATAATAAAATGTGCTACGCCAGCCAGTGCTATGGGCCTGTGTACGATTTTTAAAACATTCTCTGTCCATGACCTATGTCTTCTATTGTCTATTTTCAATGAAATGAAAAATCCAATTCAAATCAAAACTATTTCTGTGACAAATAGCTAAATTTATATTGAAACACCCACCCACCTAAACAACCGTCTTTCAATTCATAACTTTTCCCCTTCTAATATGGTGGAGGAATTGGAACGTATGGTATATCAATAACTTCGTTATATCGTGTTTGCCTTCAGTAGTTTCATTATATCAAATCAATCGGCAAATTATCATCAACGGTTGAATTTATTTTTGTTTGTTAGTTTTATTGCGGCAAATCGGGGTGTTCTCATTCTCAGGCGTGTTTAGGTTAATAAAATATGGCAGTTACAAATTGAAAAGAGTCACGAAATCTGTTTAGTTCCATGGCATAATTATGTGGTTTCTAATTTTCTTCTACGGACAAATTTCCAAAAGAAAAACAATTTGCAAGTTCATGGTGTCACCTACATTGTGTCGTCATTAAAGGATTCTTCGGGGTAGGTATTGGTCTCCCATTAAACAGTCTTTATATTCTTAGTTATTGTTATTTCTGTTAGAAGATTATTATTAGATTTTAATTGGAAGAGTTTTATTCTTCAATTTTTGGTCTGCTTTTGGAACACCTAATATTCTTCCATTTGAAGACGCAATAGTCTTCTAAAAGAAGGATGGGAAATAAGCTATTAAAAGGAGGTTATAAGGGAATCCTTTAGGAACTTCAATTGGAAGAACTAAAAGAATTTATACTCTCCAATTATATAATTTAAAAATTTAGCAGTTAAAACAAATACTTTATGTGGGACGGCCTCCAAGGAGATTTATAAAGAAAAAAAACTTGCACAAGTATTCAACAGATTAACAACCCTTGGATAATCAGTCTTGTAAAGATAGAGGGAGATCTAAATTAATTTTATAAATCGAAGACCTTTTACGGGGTTTTAATATGCTAAAAACTCTTTAAGGCAAGGAAGACTATTTTAGACTCCCCTTCTACAACACACTGAACATTTTCTCCGGCTCTACAATAGAAAGAAGCTTTCGCATAAACCTTCTATACATAAAAAGCCTTTAATTCTAGAGATATAGTCTTTTCTGCGATTTGGCAAAAGCAATTTTTATTAAAGTTTTAGTTCTCTATTAGAAGATTTTATAAAAGATTATTGCCAGACATTTTAGTCCTTTCGAGAAGTCTATATGGTCTATTATTATTAAAGGTTCCGAGTTGATTACATTTCAATTTATTTCTTTATTGAAAAACCCCTCTTTAAATCTTCATTTTGGTCGCACCATAATTTGGGAAAATTTCAGGGAATACCAGTTCGGACGAAATGTTTTCCAATGGATACCGGAAGCAAAGCTACGTTCGTGATCACTTTTTACATAATGGCCATTGAGGTTACTGGAAGAAAAATAGAGAATATTAATAAAACAAAAACTTATTTCAAAATATTTCCAGTTTACCTCTCATGACACGCCTGATACCACCAACCGCCACCAAATTTCTCGGCACAATGTAGACTTGCATGCGCATCATTGTCACGATCTAGTGTAGAAAATTGCGCACCCTTGTGATAGCCCAAGGAATCACCAGCCGTACCACTATACCGACCCAATTCCTTTAGAAGATAATTTTCACTTTCCGAACCCAAACGAAATGTGTCATAGTGAGCATATCGCGTATTCTTATCGAAATCTTTTAAAACAATTAATAATTCACAAGGTTTGACGAGAGTTAGGGCATACAGCTTTTCCAAGCCAATAAAGAATTCTAGAGAGCTGTCGCCAAAACCATTTTTGTAATCAGCCCAAGGGCGATCGAAATTCTCAATGCCATTGAGACGTCTCTGAATGGTTATCCAACCATCACCGAAATTTTGGAATTGCTCATCTAAAAAGGGGTCGTATTTGGTAACTCCACTGCAACACTGAGTCGAACTGGTCGTATTTAATCTGAAAAATGTATGGGAAATTAAATTGTATAAAGAATAAAACCTATAGATAACAAGTAAAAAAAGCTGTAAGTACGGCAGGGCCGAACTTTGAATACCCTCCACCATTTGGAACGAATTTGGCAATATTCAAAAAAATAAAATCCGTTAAAATTCTATTAAAATCTTAAAAATACAAAATGTAGCCGTCTAAACGACGACGTGGACCTGCAACTTCTGTCAAAAGCCATTACAATATTCAAATGGGAAACTTGAAAAAAATCGGTGAATAGGCTGTAGTATTCATTACGAACTTCAAATACCAAATTTGAAACAATTCTGGTAAATAATATCGCTAATATCATCAAAATACCGAATATAAGGAGGTACCGTTATATGGGGGCTATACGAAGACGTGGACCTGTACATACAATGTCCTGCCTTGGGCTGTAGTATTCATTACGAACTTCAAACACCAAATTTAAAACAATTCCGGTGAATAATGTCGCTAAAATCATAAAAATACCCAATATCGGGAGGTACAGTTATATGGGGGCTATACGAAGACGTGGATCTGCACAGACAATTTTCTGTCATAGGCTGTAGTATCCATTACGAACTTCAAATTCCAAATTTGAAATAATTCCGATGAATAATATCGCAAAAATCATCAAAATACCGAATATCGGGATGTACCGTTATATGGGGGCTGTGCGAAGACGTGGACCTGCACAGACAATTTTCTGTCTTAGGCTGTAGTATTCATTACGAACTTCAAACACCAAATTTAAAACAATTCCGATGAATAATGTCGCTAAAATCCTCAAAATACAGAATATCGGGAGGTACAGTTATATGGGGGCTATACGAAGACGTGGATCTGCACAGACAATTTTCTGTCATAGGCTGTAGTATCCATTACGAACTTCAAATACCAAATTTGAAATAATTCCGGTGAATAATGTCGCTAAAATCATCAAAATACCGAATATCGGGAGGTAGCGTTATATGGGGGCTGTACGAAGACGTGGACCTGCACGGACAATTTTCTGTCTTGGGCTGCAGTATCCATTACGAACTTCAAATACCAAATTTGAAACAATTCCGGTAAATAATGTCGCTAAAATTCTCAAAATACCGAATATCGGGAGGTACAGTTATATGGGGGCTATACTAAAACGTGGACCTATATGGCCCATTTTAAATCCCAAAAGTTCTGCAGATATAACATACATTTGAGTAAAATTTTATCAACCTACTTCATTTCGTTCGGAAGCTAGAGTGATTTCCACCGACTGGCAGACGGATAGACGGACGGACATCGCTAAATAGAATTTTAGGCTGATCAAGAATATATATACTTTGTGGGTTCTAAAATGTATGTTACAAACGGAATGACAAACCTAATATAACCTTCATACTATGGTGGAGGGTATAAAAGAGGGAAAAGATGTGCTGTGTTCCAGAAATGCAGTAATGTATAAATTTTCAAATTTCAATTCTGTTTTCTTTAATGATATCGAAGAAAAGCAAAACTTATAGATTTCTGCAGGTTCTGGAACAGAGCAATAATGGAGCATAAATGGTGGATCTCTCCCTGGCAAATTAATTAAAGATCAATCAAAAAAGTTCATGTTTTCTTTCCATATCCTTTCCATAACTTTATTTTTACTACTTACTTTTCATCGATTGTCTTCAACTCATCCTTTACATCCAATATTTCACCTTTCATTTCAATATTAGCTTTAATAATTGTATTCAAACGAAGAAATAGCTGGCGATATAATTCAATTTCATTCTTTTCACGCTCCGTATACTAGTATTGGAATTAAAAAAGGGGGAAAATATTTATTAAATAACTCCAATAATAAATTAGGATGTTACCTCATCTAAATCGGAAGCAAACGCCAATTGCTTTGTCAATAATAAAATTAAATAGATACAAAAGTTACGCTGCATCATGAGGAGACTTGAAAAGATGTAAGAAATGACTGTCAAACAGAAATTCAAAAGTACTGAATGCTCCAATATTATGGGAAAACCCCACTGATAAGACAAAGCATCGCATTAAGGGGTCATGAATAAACCGATACGAGGGACAACATGAAAATTTATTGTAAAAATATTTAAAAATTTTAATTTGCAGACACATACGCAGCATTGCGACATCTTTTGCAACATTGCACGGTGGCTTTTTTGTCCAAAGAATAAAGAAATACTAAAGGATAAAATCCAATTCTTCATTATCAGGATTGTTGGCATGCAACGTTGCAGGTCAACATTTCTCTTGGAAAGTTAAATACTCTGTTTTATTACTGTTTTCCCTTGCCTCGTACTGTTTTCCCTTGCCTGAGAGTTATAACAAATTGGATTTCACTCTCAAAAAATGTCCCTCCTTTACTGATAAGCTCTAAGCCACATATGGGAAATCTTAATTGACACTAATATTACAGAAGAGTCAAATCAGCTGGCTGTTAATGCTACTTTGAGACAAAATTGTATCATGAGACAAAGCATCTGCAATATTGTGATGAATTAAAGAGGGGTGTATAAAAAAGATACACCCAATGTTTTCTTCCTATCAGGATGTCTTTTATTTGTAGAAGATCTTTAAATCATTTAACCAAAGACCTTTTCCCCTTGAAAGACTCTACGAAAGACTTCTACGTAATTTATATGCTATACAGGGTAAGATGAAAAAACTACAACAAAGTCAAACTCCATAATTATTACATTTTTTTTAAATTTTATTGAATGAAAGCAAAAAATGTCCGAGATAGCATCAAATTTTTGAATAAGTTTAGATTTGTTCGAATTGGTCACCATTGACACGAATTATGGTATTCAATTGGCCAATGCAACCGTCACACGTTGTCCGAATGTAGCTCTGCGGTATTTTGGCCCATTCTCGGCAAAGCGCTTGCGTAAGGTGATCGACACTTTGGTATTTTTAGTGCCAACCTTGTTTCCTGTTGGAATGTCCAAGGTCTGCGGCCAAAATGTTTGCGTGCCCAAGTCTTTAATACACCTCCCAGAATATTTTCGCGATAATATTCGGCATTTATTCTGATCCCAAGGAATATACGAGCGGAGAGCGAGCATCGGTTGTTATGGCAGCCCACACCATCACCATGGCCGGCGCATGACTTCTGGTGGCCAACCGAAGGTGCACATTTCCAGCTGACCTCTTTGGCAAGTAAACATGATAATTTTGTTTGTTTACAAACTGCTGGACAACGAATGTTTTCTCATCGGAGAAAACCAATTTCGGCAGTTCACCACTTTCGACCAAGCGAATCAACTCTTTAGCTCTTTTGAGTCTATTTCCTTTTCGTTGCGGTATAAGTTTTTGCACTTTTTGAAATTTCAATGGAACTCATTTTTCAATATTTTCCGAATATCAATATTTTCCGAATGGAATATTGCGATATTTTCAGCTCACGAGCCATTTTTCGGCCACTGCGACGCAGGTTTCGATCACATCGCTTCTTTACTTTTCGAACCATTCCTGCTGATGTTGCTGTTTTCTTCCGTCCACTTTCACTTCCTTGATGTATGTCGGGCTACGCTACCAGTATCGCGATAACTAGCGATGGTACGAGACACAAACGATTTATTCACATTTAAATGCCGGATTGCTCTAACGATAACCACTTGTGGTTTTCCAGCCAAATATAAAGAAATCACACTATCACGCTTGAATTCCATCACGAATAACTTTTTTCTATAAAATTCTCACCAAAATGCTTTTATACGCTTGAAAACCATATAATGAGCTGTCACTGGAATAATTTTAGCAGCTGTCGGAAGAGTGGCTTAGAAATGACAGCAGTCTGAAGTTGGTTGCAGTATTTTCATGTCACCCTGTAGAAGACCATTAATCATCTTCCCTATGTAGCATACCTTACGAAAGTCCTCTTCATAATTTATATGCTATACGTCTATCAGTTCCTGACTATACTATTTCTTTGTCAGATTCCTATCTCTGCCATGTTTTTTCCATGTTCGAGTTCAAATCACTCGAACGAAATCTCTATGCAACTGCACATACTTTGCCCACCTTGAAATTGGCGAATGATTAAGCTAAATAAAACCATGATGTCATATGCTTAGACCTTTAGGTTTGTTTGTAGCCGATAAGGCCACCAAAAGAAAACAAACAAAAATCATTATTAATTATCAAACCAAATAAAACGATTACCCATGCTTTGCAGAAAATTAAAAAAAAAACACACAAAATGGAGATTTATAAGATTTAGTTTTATTAACTTTATATGTCATTAGTATATAAAAAAAATAAATTATTATATACTAAAGGATAGTTGAATATATGTATATGTTTTTTTTTCTTCTTTATTTTATTGGAGTTTTGTTCGTATTTAAATGTAACAATATTAAAATAAAAATCTTTTTAAACTTTGTAATTATATTTTAATTTCAATCGTTTTTTTTTTTTTTTTTTTTGGAGTTGGTAGAATACTTTTTAAAAATTCGTTATATTTCTGTATGAGAATAAAAATATAAAATAGCAAAAGGAAACTAAAAACAAAAACAATTAAAATATAAAGCCTCAGATTTTTGAGACATTGTTTTTCTTACTCTTAGAGGACAAGACACATATCAACTGGAGTTGGATTATTTGTATATATGGTATAAGACAATAAATTATATTGATACAAATTCAATACACTGTACGATAACGTAAGCAATTGGTTTTCTTGTAATATATAGTTTATGGAAAAGATAAGTTAAGTGATTAGTTGGAATAACAAACAGGATGATGTCAGTTGTTTATATAGATTCCAAGACCCAATAAAAATGTTTACAATTGGGATTGTTTAAGTTGGCTATCACTTTCGATTTGTTGAAAAGTATCCACTTACAATAACAATAATGAGAATAATGACAAAAACTTTTTGAATTTTTTGAAAGCCTGGAAAGAAAAGGAGAATAGATAGAATATTAATAGAATATTATAAATGGGGTATATAAATAAGATTGAATGAATCATATAACACACACACGTTACGACTTTTGGGTCTTTTATCGATAGCATGGCTGCAGAAGAGTTTTTTTCTATGAATAGAAAAAATCATAAGGGAGACCTCTAGAAGATTACTCAAGAGCGTTTACTTCTATTCATAGAAGACCTTAAGACGAGCCTTTATAGAGTTTTCTATCTAAACGAAACATCAAAGAATATTCTGTTTATAAAATGGAAGTTCTTCTATGAAAAACAAATATTAGTTCCTCTTAATATCGTTTGTCTTTCTAAAAGGTGATTCTAAAAATCACATTAGGTTCTAAAATATTAGGAATTGGTCTTTAAAGGTAAAACTTTAAGACCTTCTAGCTATATATAATAATATAATAACCTCGAGTCATTTATCAAGAAAACCTACAATTATGTGTGTTAAACATTTCATTTATCAACCTTAGTTTAATGAGATAACGTTACTCACATATATTTTTTTCATTTTGGCATCCAAACATCATCCATTGTCGGCCCATCTAATCATCTTCCTAGCGGCCTTTCATTTATGGTATTGCATGCAAACGTCCAACTCTTGTCTCATCCCAATCCAATTCCCCAACTTTTCGTATAATTTAACTCAAGACCCGATCAGCAGCAATATTGAATGCATCCAAAAATACACCCATCGGGGTCGAGGGACTCAAACTAACACCGGTTGCCAAATTGGTGACCTTATTCTTCAAATTCCTCAGACGCAAGGAAGCATGTATAAATGTAAGAGAAAATGGCAACAACAATGTGAAACAAGACAAGAGAATAGCATCAAACCAATGCAATAGTAAGTATCCAACCAACAAAGCTCCACCGAGAATATACCATTTCTGGGTATCACTGCCGGCAGCTGGTACACGTAAACGTACAAATCTCGTCTGACCACTGAAGAAATGCAAGATGATGGCAATAATCATGGCCTGTACGGTAAGTCCACAAATGATTTTCACTGGATTCACAATCATCATAAGGCCATAGATGGCCAAAAACAAGAGGAAGTAATTTGTTTGATAGTAGAGTAGATTCTTCACCACACGATTGCCCCATTTATCGAAATCTTTGATATTGGGTATTTGAAATCTGGCCGAACCCAGTACGAAATCATCGAGACTACGTAAAGGTGGCAATTCAAGACTATCAGCGGCCACATCTACCATTTTTTCCGTGGTGTTTGTTGTTAGTGTTCCTGGGGGGATGGTGTTTCAAATGCTCTCAATTCGTCACGATTTGATTGTTTGCAATAGCCAATATCTCTTCGGATCGTGAGCACTGTGTATAGTACACGTTTAAAATAGTTTAGTACTTGTGTTTTGCACTGCTCTGCTTGTAATTTTTTCAATTATTTCATAAAATCCAGATGAATCACGGCTGACGTACAGAGTATAAGTTTTGCTACTTTATTTAGTACACAAAAATTGCAACCATGTGACAGCGATTTGGTCGCTTTTGACAGCAAAACAACAAATGCCGCGGAGAGTTATAATGAAAAGAGGGTTTGATAAATGATAAATGTCCCCCTCCCACGAAAACGAAGAGTGATTTAAAAATGATATTAATAGGGTATTTTACTTAAATTTTAAAACGATTTTAAATAGGGTTATCTTGATTGTAATGCAATGTTTTTGCTTTAAAAAAGCGTCTATTGGATTTCTACGACTTTAGGAGGCCTCTTTATATTCTCTATCTCTCTTTATATGACAAAAGTGCAAAAAACATATGATATCTGTCATTTTGTAAAAACAACACAACTATATAAACAGCAGTCGGAGGTGACCGTGAAATTCAGAGGAATCCAATTGGAAACAATAATAAAAAAGGAAGGAATTATTCACTGGCTTTCTGAGAACTAAGTAATAAACCACAATGTCCAAATATTATTTAAACGGCGCCAAAGATGAAGCCAATGTCCGGGAGTTTGATACCTTAGGTAAGAAGAAAATGATGTAAAGGCTTCCAATCTTTTTCTTTCCGAATCTAACAGATCTAGAAATTGCGGTACGATTTATTCCCCTCCACAGTAAGAAAGAGGGAAAAATGGACCTAGAATGTGTAGTATTTGGATAATATCTGGAAAATCCTTATTGATTTCCCTTTCATTTTAGATGCTCCGGTACGAGAATTAATCCTAGCCGCTGTAGAAGCCCGCAAACATGCCTATTGTCCGTATAGTAATTTTGCTGTAGGTGCAGCTATACGCACAGCAGACGGTTCCATTTACACAGGATGTAATATTGAAAATGGTGCCTACACTGCAGGCATTTGTGCCGAAAGAACAGCAGCCGCCAAAGCTATAAGGTAAGAGGTTATTGTTAATACAGCAGCATTGTACGCCAAAATGTTTGAACATCTCCCAACGCCTCCATCAAAACATAAAGGGCTAAAATAAATTTGTCATTCTGATTGCATCGCTTCGAAATATAAATATAAAAAAGCGGCCGAACTATGCTTTGTTATACCCTCCACCATAGTATGGAGGGTACATTAAGTTTGTCGTTCTGGATACTACAGGCTATGAGAGAAAATTATTGGTGCAGGTCAGCGCCTTCGTATAGCCCCATATAACGGTACCTCCCGATATTCGAAATTCTGATGATTTTTCCAATCCTTACAACGCTCTACAGTTCAAAGAATGCATATTTTTGATGCAATACGATTGGCATAACAATGTTTACTCAATGCATCATTTTCTTTGCGAAATCCATACCAACAAGTCATGAATAAATTAAGCACCACATCCACATAACAAAATCACACAGAATTCACTTCAATATCACCATAAACGTTTGCTTTTTTCTTCTGCAGTGAGGGTAAACGTGATTTTGTTGCTTGTGCTGTTGTCGCCCAACAGGAGGGCTCATTTACCACACCTTGTGGGGTTTGTCGTCAATTTTTGGCCGAGTTTGGGGCTAAAAATGATTTCCCTTTGTATGCTGCCAAGCCCAACAGTCCACCGTTTCGCGTTTTGTGCACAAGCGTTATGGAATTATTGCCCAAGACATTTCTATTTGAGAAGTAAAATATATTCTTAGTAAATGTTTTTTTTTCTTTCGATAAGAAATTATAGAAAAACTGTAGCTGTGGATATCATATTCTTTTGTAAAATAGATACGACCAATTAACCATAGATGCTAGACATTGATGTAACGTTTTGTGTTATCTTTTTATTTAATATATTAAAAAAAAAAACTTTTTATATTTGCATGTCGTGTTGATATATTTTTTTATGTATATATTTTAATTGATTTTATATACAAATAAAATATAAAAAGAATTTCCACTGTTTTAGATTTATAGCGGCACAAAATTAATTTTTTAAAAGCAACTGTGGTTATTCGCGATGGAATTCAAGCGTGAGAGTGTGATTTCTGTGAACGAGATTTAAAAAATGTACAACAATATTGAAAAGAAAAAGTGAAATATGGAAGGAAACTATGAAAGACTAAGAAGTATTTTCCTGGAAGACGAAAAGTTACCAGAAAACACAAAGGTTTTCTCACAGAAGACAAAAAATGGTATAAAAAAGGGTTCCTCATAGAAGGGTTGCTCACAAAAGCCCATAGGTTCTCCTCTCAGAAGATCAAAAGATTTTCTCACAGACGACGAAAAGTTCTTCTCTTTGATGAAATTTTTTTCAACAGGATGTACTAAAAGATAGACGATCAATTTTGAAGGAACAAAAATTTTCTGAAAAAATATTGTCAAAAGACAAGTAAAAAACGTCTAAAGAAGGGCCAAAAGGTCTGCTAAAGAAAGACCAAGAGATCCTCTCACGAAAACGAAAAGGACCTGTCGTAGAATATCCAAAAATCATATCAAAAAGACGTTTCAAATAAGGACAAAAGATCCGCTTAAGGATGAACAGAAGGTACTCTTAATGTAGACCAAAAATTCCTCTCATAGATGACCTAAAGACCTTCTCAAAAGAACGCCTCAAACAAGACCAAAAATCCTCTTGAGGAAGAATAAAAAATCCCTTAATGGAAGGCTCTAATATCTTCTCAAAGGAACGTCTCAAAGAAGACCAAAAGATCCTCTTAGGGCAGACCAAATGGTCCTCCCATTGACGAATATATGGTCCTCTCATAGAAGACCAAAAGGTCATATCATGGAAGAACAAAAGATAATCCCAAAAGGTCCTCATAAAGAAGGCCAAAAGTTCCTCATAAGGAAGACCGAAAATTCCTGAATTAGAAGACGAAAAGTACTTCAAAAAGGACGCTTCAAACAAGGCCAAAAGATTCGCTCAAGGAAGAACAAAAGGTTCTCTCGAAGAATAATTAAAGATCTATTGAAGGCACAAAGTTCTTCTAAATAGATCTATTTAAGGACAAGCAAAAAGTATTTTTAAGGAAAACCAAGAGGTCCCTTCATAGAAGTCCCAAAGGTCATCTTATAGAAGAACAAAATATCTTCTGAAAAGGTCTTCTTAAGGAAGGCCAAAATATCCTCGTAAAGAAAAACACAAATTCCTCTAATAGAAGACCTAAATTTTTTCTAAAAGGACTCCTCAAACAAGGCAAAAGATCCGCTCTAGGAAGAACAAAAGGTTCTCTCATAAAATAATAAAAGATCCTCTACTAGAAGGCCCAATGTTTATATATTATTGAAGGCACAAAGTTCTTCTAAATAGGTATATTTAAGGACAACCAAAAGGCCATCTTAAAGAAGATCAAGGCGTCCTCTTAGAAGTCCAAAAGGTCATCTCATAGAAGCACAAAATATCTTCTGCAAATGTCCTCTTAAGGAAGGCCAAAAGATCCTCGTAAAGAATACCACAATTTCCTCAATAGAAGACCTAAAGTTCTTCTAAAAGGACTCCTCAAACAAGGCCCAAAAGATCCGCTCTAGGAAGAACAAAAGTTTCTCTCAAAAAAGAATAAAAGATCCTATCGTAGAAGGCCTAAAGTTTTTCTAAATAGATCTATTTAAGGACAACCAAAAGGTCTAACAGAAGATCAAGGGGTCCTCCCAAAGAAAACCATAAGGTCCCCCATATGAGACACAAATGTGTTCTCATAGAAGGTACAAATGTCTTCTCAAAAAGAACCAGCTGGTTCATTCTAGGGCAGTAACTAGGTAACATTGTTAGCAAAATTTTGCTGTTCGGATGTGGAATGAAATATCCTCTCATGGAAGACCAAGAGCGTATATTATGGAAGGCATAAAGTTCTCCTTAATCGATCGTTTTAAGGATAATCAAAAGGTCTGCTTAAGAAAGACCAAGACGTCCTCTCATAGAAAATCAAAAGACACAAATGTCTACCAAAAATAACGCCTCAAAGAAAACCAAAAAAAGATCCTTTTAAGGACGACCAAAAATTACTTTCATAAACGAAAAAACCGTTTCCAAAGGAAAACTAAATGGATATCCATTTCATGGAGGAGGCTATGTATACAGTTCATAAAGAACTAGCTGGCCCCTTCTAGGATAGTCATTAGGTAACCTTGTTGGCGAAATTTTGCTGCTCGGATCCGGAACACCTTTCAACCCAATTAATAACAATTCCTCCAAACAAATACCCGTAAAAGAAAACAAAATGTAGTGATCTTTGTTTCTTACATAATATAATTATGATATAATATATATATATTTTTTCTTGTTGGTTGGTTTATCATCATTCAACTTAAACCTTAAGCTTAATTGCATTTATTCACATACACATAATTAACACTAAATAAACATTATTGCATATTTCTAAAAAATATATCTTTTTAGAAAACAAAAAAAAAACAGATTAATCTTAAATACAAAAAAAAAAAAATAATAATAATAATAAAGTAAAAATATATATATGTATGTATAAATGACAAAAATAATATTAAATAATTTTTCCCAATCGAAACTCTAAGAGTTCCTTCCGGGGGCTAAGTAACAAAAATTAAGTGCTAGAGAGAGTAAATAAATCATACTTTTTTTAAAGCTATCTTATTTTTAGTTATGTTTGTTTGTATTCTTTTACTTTTTCTTCTGTTGCTAATAATGGTAGTAAGTTTCTCGGCATTAATTTTTGTTTGATATCTTTTGTTTTAATCTTTATAAGTACAAAATAATATAAATATTTCTACAAAATTGAACTATCTGTTGTTGGTTTCTTTTTTTTTTTCATTCATTCCTTAATATACAATTTAACTTGACTTTTACACTTAATAAGTATGCTATCCTTCTTCTAAAAAAGAAAAGGGAAAGAGGGTTTTCTTCTTCTTTCTATATTTTTAAATAAATTCTCTAAATATTTGCAACATTTGCCGCTGTTGCTGCTGCTGCTGCTGCACCGTCGTCTGTGTTTGCATTGAAGAACTGAGATGTTGGCACACCATATTGTTGTTCCAGCTGTGGCGTTGGTGTTGTTGACGTTTCCACATCAAAGAAACTATTCAAGGGATTGTTTTCATCCGACACCGGTGTATCGAAATTTTGCTCGGCACTTATTTCAAAATAGGCCGGATTTATGTTACTCTGTTTCTTTTCCACTGGCATCGACTCAACAACCTCGCTAATGTGTGGCCAATTCTGATAGAATTTCATATCGTATTCAATTTGCATGTAACGACGTTTCGATGTCTTCACATCACGATCACGTTTCGCCTGGAACTTCTTAAAGAGACAATATTCCACAATTAGCGTTTCGATGGCCACATGAGCCACAAATGCGGCAGCACCATATATCAACATCCAATAGCGGAAATCCATTTCGGGCGGCAGTATCAATTGGAAAAATTCAGACAACCATGCCGGTGGATAGATAATGAGGTAGATAACAATACATATATTAACAATGAGCGTCAAACAGAAGGGTATATTTGACCAGATCGGCCGACGATATGGAGCACCTTTGGAGAAGACAAAAGCTAAAATGATATACTGGAAACTGGATATGGCAAACATGGTGTAGTTTTCCCAACAGCCTAAATGTTCGTCGCTGCTATAGACGAAGGGTTCGAACCATTCCTGTTGGTGAACATGGAACCAGCCTGCAAGAAAAGAGAGGGTGATGTTAAAAAATAACAACAATTTTGAAAAATAACTAAAAAAAATTAAAATAGGGAAACATTTTGGAAAACTAAGGGGTTTTGCCTGGAAGTCCAAAAGGTTCAAAAGAAAAAAAGAAGGTCTTCCTCAAAGGTCTTCTCATAGAGGATCAACAGATATTCTAATGGAAACCCTAAAGGAAACCCCCAAGATTTTATCATAGAAGACGAACGTGTAATTTCGTGGAAGTCCATATGGTTTTCTCATAGAAGACCAAAAAGATCTTCTCATAAAAGACCAAAGGTTTTCCTATAAATTACAAAAATGTCTACTCAAATGGGTGTCTCAAAAAAGTCCCAAAAATCTTTTTAAGACCAAAAATTTCCTTTAAGGCCCAAATGTTTTTTTTTCAAAAGGACGTCTCAAGTAAGGTCAAAAGATCCGCTTAAGGAAGGCCAAATGATCCTCTCATAGAAGAATTAAAAGACCTATCGTAGAAAGCCAGAAGGTATTCTTATGGGAGACAAAAAGGTCTTCTACAGGGAACTTTTAAGGGAGACCATAAGAGTCTCTTATGGGAAGGCCGTCACAAAGAAGACCAAAAGGCACTCTGAAAGAAGACCAAAACACCCTCTCATAGAAAAATAAAAGGTCTTCAAAGAAGACCAAAAGATCTACTCATAGAAGGCAAAGATGGTCTTCTCGAAGATCCTCTTGTGGACGACGAAAAGATTCTCTATAGGAAGACCGAAAGGTCTTCTCAAGTATGACCAAGCCGTCCTCTCCTAAAAGACACAAATATCTTCTAAAGAAATTCAAATGATCATCGTTAGAAAGACCAAAAGGCACTCTCCTAGTGGAATAAAAGGTCGCCTACCAAAAGGACTACTGATAGAAGGCGCAAAGTTCTCTCAAAAGCTTCTCCAAAGGAACACCAAAACGTCCTCTCATAGAAGACACAAATGTCCAAAATATCCTCTCATAAATGTCCAAAAGGACAACACATAGAAGACCAACAAATCTTTATATGGAAGACACACGGGTCTGCTCAAAAGTTCAGCGTATGGACGATCAAAAATCCTCTGAGGGAAGAGCAAAAAGTCCCCTCATAGCAGAATAAAACCTCCTCATAAAAGACCAAAAGATCTACTCATAGAAGACATAGATGGTCCTCTCTTATGGACGACAAAAAGACCGAAAGGCCTTCTTAAGGAGGTTAACAATTTGTTTGTTAATGATATTGACGATACTGTATCGTATGATTAAATATTGTTTTTTTTTATTACCAGCAATAGACTTAAATTTATTTTCATTGGCTGGGGAGCCTTATTGTCCATATTTTACATATGATTTCTTAGGTTACTTTAAGATACACTATGTAATATTTTTAAGATGTTTTTTTTTATTTTGGAGTACACTTTTGTAGTTTTGATAGTTGTGATACTTATTGGCCTAATGGCTTTTTCATTGCAACATATAAATAAATAAATGAAATGAAATGAAATAACCAAGCCGTCCTCTTATTAAAGACACAAATATCTTCTAAAGAAAACCAAATGATCATCGTTAGGAGGACCACAACAAAAGTCTTAAAAGACCCTCTTAAGAACGACCATAAAATTCCCCAAAGGAAGTCCAATATGTCCTCTCATAGAACACACAAAAGTCTTTCAAAATTCAAAAGGATATGACAAAGACGACCAAAAGACCCTCTGAAGGAAGATCAACAACGCCTCTGAAGAAAGACCAAAAGGTCCCATCATAGAAAAATAAAAGGTCTTTATAAGAGACCAAAAGAGCTACTCATAGAAGGCCGTCTTAAGAATGACCAAAAGATACTCCAAAAGAAGACAAAGACGTCCTCTCATAGAAGACACAAATGTCTTTTGAAAGGACGTTCCATAGAACTGCAAAAGGTACTCTCATAGAAATCCAATAGGACGCCACATAGAAGACAAAAGATCTTATGGAAGTCTCTCAAAAGTTCATCTTAAGGACGATCAAAAGATCCTCTTAAGGAAAAGGTCTTCTTCCTTCATGTAGAGCAAGAGGTCCTCTCATAGAACAATAAAAAGCCCAAAAGACGTCTCAAAGAATACCAAAATAATGGAAGATCAAAAGGTCATCACAAAGAGGAAACAAATGTCCTCAAAGAAATCCCAAAGTTTTTCTTAAAGTACACCAAAATTCCTTCAAAAAAGAGGAATAGAATACCAAAATGTCCTCATAGAGGCCAAAAAAGTCCTCTAAAAAAGCCTAAAGACTTCACACATCGACAGGATCAAATGTCTTCCAAATAAAAAAAGGAAAATGTCTTTCCAAAAATGGCCTCCAATAGAATACCCAACCTTCTAATAAAGTCCAAAAAGACGTCACAAAAAGTCCCAAAAGGGCTCACAACGACAAGACCTATTGTCTTCCAAAAAAAAGACCTTGCCATAAAAAAACTAAATGACTTCCAATAGAAAACCCCAACAACTCTTTTCACAGAAGACCAAAAAAAAAACCTTCTCACAAAGCTTATTGGACTTCTCTGTGAAAGCCTCATAGGTTATCTCATAGAAATTTTACCCCATCTAAAATCATTTTTCATCACCAAAACATAATCAACTCACCCGCTACTTGGAATGCAATAACCACCAACAAATGCAAGACGATCGAAGCCAGCGGTGTCAGCGATATCAACGATGACAGCGGCACCTGTTTAACCAATGGTCCATTAAACGATTCCGTTTTCCCGAAGAAAAATGCAAAGATGGATATTAAACCCAGATCAATGTATAAATACTGTTTGTCCGTTAGATTCGAATCGATGGAATACAAAATCATGACCGATACAAATTGTACCATCGAATAGGCAGCCATGTATTTGAAGATGCCAAATGAGGTGACCAGGGCGGCACGACCCTCTTTGATGACATTCGGTACGGCAGCTATGGTGGGATTGCGCGAGGTAAACGGCGAGGCAATTGAAGATTCAGTTTCACTTAGGGATATGCCCGTATGGGCGACCTTTAAGGCACCACAATCGTTGGCACCATCGCCACACATGGCCACGCAATAGTCGAGATTTTGCAGCTCCACGACAAGGGCTTGTTTTTGTTCGGGCGACATGCGGGCATAGATGACACCACGTGTCAGGAAATTGGGTAGCAGATCGGGAAAGTGGTCCTTGACAATTTGCCATGTCTTGCCGACCATGGCGAAACGATAGTTGTCACGCCAATTCTTGTCCAACAATGATGATGGTGGTTCGGCCGCATCCATGGGTGAGTTTAGACCCAGCTCCATGTCATTGTGGGTCCAGGTATCGACAGTTTCAACACTACCACAACTTTTGCTGTTTGGCATGGTAATTGAGGCAGCACTCGACAGGGAGGCAACATCGCCATTCAAGCGATGATAGTTGGTGTCATACAACGAATCATTGGTATTGGATGAGGCGAGGGTGCCGTTAGTTTTACCATTTGTCATTGAGGTAGAGGCACACGAGGCACTGCCCAAATCCAGGGTATAATAAAGCTCATAATTACTGTGATCCGTGTCGTTGTGTTGATGCGAATGGTGATGATGATGGTGGTGGTGATGATGATGATGTTGATGTTCTCCCCCATCCGCATCGGCTTTGTGACGTACATTCACCGTTACCACCGGCTGATTCGTACTGACAATACCACAGTCACGGGCCACACTCAACGCCGTCAAGATATTATCACCCGTTATCATAATCGAACGTATATTGGCCTTGGTCAAGGCCTCAATGACCTCTGAGGTATCGGGTTTCAGACGATTCTCCAGCACCACAAAACCCAAAAACTCCAAATCACTTTCGACACTTTCACGAGGCAAACGTTGTACTTTGGTATAATTAACTTTGGTACTTAGAGATTTGTAGGCCAGGGCTATGACACGATAGCCCTGCTTGGCATACACCGATAATTGTTGGGAAAAGTTGTCGGGCAGACTTTCGGGCAGGCACAGTTGCTGTAACATTTCCGGTGATCCCTTGCAGTAGACATTGAAATGTTTTTCGCTGAGGCGACGAGTTATCACCGACATACGTTGTAGGTTTGAGGTAAATGGGAATTCCCGGACAATACCATGATCATTGACAGCCTCACCATTCAGCAGACCCACATCGGATAACAAATCATCCACCGAAGATTGTCGCTCAACCATTTTTTCTTCCATTTGTGGGAGAATTTCTTTTTTGGGTGGCCTCACCACGGTGGGATGCAGCAAACCATATTTCTGATTATCCGGCACACCTTGGGCATCTTCCAGTATCCAACCGGTCGATTCAAACATTTTCAAGTCCAAAGGATCACCCATCATTTTGTTATTCATGATGGTAATCGAATGGCAGGTGACCATGCCAAAGAGGAAATTATCGAAGGGTAGACGTTCGATTTGTTTGATGGGAATTTGAAATTGATTTGTGGCCGATTTGGGTACAACACCCCACATGTCCAGGCCATCTTCGGTAAGGGTACCCGTCTGAAAAAACAAAGGACAAAAATTAGTTTTTCTTTTTTGATTTTTTGGTGCTGTCATTTGGCTGACCTTATCAAAACAACAACAATCGATGCTGCCAGCAACATTAATCGATCTGGGCGAAATGCAATAAATATTATTGCGTTCCAACCGCTTCTGGGCATAAAAACGGCCCACTGTCATGGCAGCTGGTAAGGCTGGAGGCACAACAACCGTTATCAAATCCAATGATTCAACAGCTATTTTGGTGGCATCTATGTTTCTCATTATCTGCAAGGCAAGCAAATGCAAATGTAGTCTTGAAGAGAGCCATTTATGTGCGGAGATGTCCTTACCTTACTGACTAGCGTATATATGAATCCAATTAAGGCAATTAAACCCAAAAACTCAATAAATTTATAAGAGTCCTGCTCAAATTTATAATCAACGGGTGGTGGATACAATATGGAACGTATGAGACCGCCTTTGGCCGTTATATTGCCCGTGTTAATGACAATGGCTAGCACCTTTTCCGAACCAATATAACGGGTCTGTATGACTTTGGTGCCACAGAAGAGCGTGTGGCGAGCATGCTCCTTTTTGTCGAAGACAACATCACGTTTCGATGGCAGTGGCGTCTTGGTAACCGGTACACTTTCACCTAAGAGGAGGGGGAAGGAGGAGGGTAAGATTCCATAATCAGTATTTACAACTAGAACACGAACAACACTCCAAATTTTTCTTCATACCAGTTAACATGGCCTCATCGAGGATACAATTGCCCGACAACAGCACCGCATCACATTGCATTGTACAACCACTGGAGGGAATTTCAATGATATCACCCGGCACCAGACGTTGGGTCGGCACCTCGTGGACCTCGCCCCGTTCACCCACAATTAGGGCAGTGCCTGTATTTTGTACCGTCTCACGGAGGGCATCTTGATTCTGAAAAAACAAAAACAAGGCCATTGAAAACAAACTTATTTTAATAATTGTTTTTTTTTTAGGAAGAACCTTTTTCGTTTGTATTATCGACATGGTTATGCCGAACACCGACATCAGCACAATGACACAGGCATAGTAATAGTAATCGTAGGTGAACCACAATATCACCGAAAATATTTGGAATACATAAAATGGATTAAGTACTTCTAAGAACAACAATGTTTTCACATCTTTATAAGGAACTGTTATTTCATTTGGCCCATAGACCAGACGCCGGGCCACTCTCTCCTGTTGGCTCAAGCCATGTTGCTGATGGAAATATGCATTGGCAACGTCGACATCTAAACCCTGCAATTTGTCAAACGTTTGCGTTTGGGAATTCCAGGCATAGCGCAGTTGTTTGCATACGAAAATCCGGGCACTGGTACAATCTGCAAGAGAAGAAGGAGAATTTGGTTAACGGGTACAAATTAAAATGTAAAACATAATTTTTTATACCCTCAGCCATATGGCTGGAGGGAGTATATATCATTTGATACGGCCAAAACGTGAATCATCGAAATAATGATTTTAGACCCTAGGTCTCTTTGGATAAAATCCGTTTCAGGGCATTTGGAGTGGATCTGACGATATCTGTCCGTGTGGCTGGCTATCGAAGGGAGTATCCGATTTGGTCCAAACAGGGCAAATCGTAATATTATTACCCCACTTAGATCGAGTTCTGAGATGAACAATATCGGCCCACGCCTTCTAGGACCTCCCCCACAAAATGTCAATATTTTCAAAGAAAATAATTTATTCCACAGAAAGAGAAACGATGATCCGATTTTGCCCAAATTTTGCAAATCCTAGTATTTGCATAAGTGCTAGGTCAGGTGCGAAAATGGACAATATCGGTTCACTCCATCAAGTACCTGCCCCACAAAAGGACAAAATTTTGAATAATTATAACTCTTATAAAGTGTGATATAAGAGTCCGATTATCTTCAAATTACACACATCGCAATATTTTTGTTAACTCTAGGTCTGGTGTGAAGATGGAATATATCGGTCCACCCCATCAAGTGCCTCTCCCACAAAGGGTCAACATTTTGAATAATTATAACTCTTATAAAATGTAATCGTCCGATTGTCTTAAAATTACACACATCACAATATTTTTGTTAACTCTAGGTCTGGTGTGAAGATGGAATATATCGGTCCACCCCATCAAGTGCCTCTCCCACAAAGGGTCAACATTTTGAATAATTATAACTCTTATAAAATGTAATCGTCCGATTGTCTTAAAATTACACACATCACAATATTTTTACAAACCCAACGTCTGGTATAAGGATGGAATATATCGGCCCACTCCTCCTGGTACCTCCCCCACAAAGGGTCAAAATTTTGAAAATCCATGAATCTCAAAAAACACGAAATTAACATCCGATCCCATTCAGACTTGGCACATCTCAATATTTCCATCAACGCAGGATCTGCTATAAAAACGGTAGAGATCGGACCATTCCTTCTGGTACCTCCCCCACAAAGGGTAAGAATTTTGAATAACCAAAACGATTATAAAATTCGAAACAAGCATCCGGTTCTTTTCGTATTTCACACATCACAATATTTTTATTAATCCAAGATGGGATATATATCGGTTGAGATGGGATATATCGGTCCACTCCATCAAGTATCTGCCCCACAAAGGGACAGGATTTTGAGTAACCTTGAGGCTCATAAAACAAAAAATTAACATCCGATTCCATTCCAGACTTGGTACATCTCAATATTTCTATCAACACAAGATCTGTTATAAAGATGGTAGATATCGGGCCATTCCTTCCGGTACCTCTCCCACAAAGGGTCAAAGTTTTGAATAACCAAAACGACTATAAAATCCGGAATAACCATCCGGTTCTCTTCATATTTCGCACATACCATTATTTCTACTAACAAAAGATCTGTTATAATGATGGAACACTTCGGTCGATTCCTTCTGGTACTTCCCCCACAAAGGGTCAAAATTTTGAATATCCCTGAAGCTCAAAAAACGCGAAAATAACATCCGATTCCATTCAGACTTTGTACATCTCAATATTTTCATCAGCACAAGATCTGTTATAAAGACGGTAGATATCGGACCATTCGTTCTGGTACCTCCCCTACAAAGGGTCAAAATTTTGAATAACCAAAATAATTATAAAATCTTGATATTTCACACATCCCATTATTTTTGCTAACACAAGATCCGCTGTGAAGATAGGAGGGTGTACCACTCCTTCTGGTTTAATTAAGTTTACAATTTATCCACAAAAACAAAATATTTTTTTCAGATATCCTCCCTTGACTCACATTTAAATTGTCCCGTTGCAAAATGCATTGACAAATGGAAATTCCTTTCATCCAAATCATTAAGTGTTGCAATAGCACCATCGCCCATCTCAACATTATTACAACCATTGGCCATCGATTCTTTATTGCTTTCCGCCGTCGATGTCGCCGGATTTCTGGCAGGCGATGAAGATTTCTGTTGTTTGGCAGCCTTTAACTGTTCTTGTCTGAAATGGAAGAGACAAAAAATTAATAAATTACAACTTGAATTCCCACCTCTCGTAGTGTACCAGCAGCCCACTCACCTCAAGGTATTAATGTCTAAATTCTGTATCTCCTTGACATAGTAAATTTTATGGTTGCCCTTGTAATCTTCTTGTACCAGAACTTTGTCGGCTTCTTCCAAGCTGCAGATTTCATGGGTGGCCATTAGATACCAATGACGCCACCAATGCAATATCAAACGCAACAGACCGCCGGTCAGGCAAATGCACATCCAACAGAGGGCGGTGCGCATTACTGACCGGCGATAGCCGGTTATTTTCATTTCATCTTCTTCGTTGGGATTCAGCAAACCAGTGCATGGTTTTGTATCTGTGGAAGAAACAAAGGAGAGAAGAACAAATTAAAATAAGAAAAAATTAAGATCGTAGTTGAAAAAAAAAATGGAAAATTAAAAATCTCGCGATTTTTAGATTCGTACATTTTTTGTTACAAAAAAAAACATGTAAAAAAGATGTATGTTTGGCCAGGCCGAACTTTGAATAGGGTCTATACGACTACGTGGACCTGCTAGGCAGCTTTTGTCATAAACCGTAACAATATTCAAATGCGAAACTTGAAAAAAATAGAGAATAATGTAGCTAAAATCGTCAAAATACCAAATATCGGGAATTGACAATATATGGGGGCTATACAAAACGTGGGCCTGCACAGACAATTTTTTGTCATAGGCAAATCCATTACGAACAATATCCATTACGAACTTCAAATACCAAATTTGAAACAATTCCGATGAATATTGTCGCTAAAATCATCAAAATACCGAATATCGGGAGGTACCGTTAAATGGGGGCTATACGAAGACGTTGACCTGCACAGGCAATTTTCTCTTTTAGGCTCCATTACGAACTTCAAATACCAAATTCGAAACAATTCCGGTGAATAATGTCGCTAAAATCATCAAAATACCGAATATACCGGTTATATGGGGGCTATATCAAAACGTGGACCTACATGGTCCATTTTCAATACCAAAAGTCCTACAGACATAATATACATTTAAGTAAAATTGTATCAACCTACTTCATTTCATTCGGAAGCTAGAGTGATTTCACAGACGGACTATTTGGTATTATTTGAACGGATAGACCTAAAAACATAAAATTCGGTGTTAGAATCATAGTTGGAAAGTAAGTTTGATACATGAAAGTGGATTTGGATTTATGTACCAAGTGTGCGAACTGTACTAAATTTGACACTAAATTTGGAACATTTTGCTTAGGATGTACGGAGGAAGCGGACATTTTTTATTGCGACCCATGTTGATGGTAGAGGTTTATAATGCACAAGTGGTTTTGGAAATATTTACAACAAGTGCACGAAAAGTATTAAAGAGTACCTTATTTGGCACAATTTAGTATTGGGTGAACAGATAGCTCTTGAAATCTGAAATTTGGTATTAGGGACGCTGTGCATGAGTACTGGACACAGAGAGGTGGTTTCGGAAATGTGTCGAATTATTGTACGAAAATTACTGTAGGGTACTATTTTTGGTATTGGGTGAAGAGATAGAGATAAAATTCTAAAAGGTAATATTTAGTTTACTAATGGTATTTTTGTTTGAGGTTTGGAAATGCGTACTATATTTGTTCAAAATGTACTAAATGGTACTATTTTTGGTATTGGGTGCTAGAATTAGGGTTGGAATCCACAAATTTCCTATTGAGGTCTTCGTGGGCATATGTAATTGAGATATGGAGGTGGTTTTGGAAATGTGTACTATAATTGCACGAAAAGTACTAAAAGATATTAAATTTGGTATTGGGTCAAGAGATAAAGACAAAATTCTGAAATTTGATGTTTAGATATTTGATATTTGGCGGTGTTTTGGAAATGCTTACTATATTTGTCAAAAATGTACCAAATGGTACTATTTTTGGTATTAGGTGCTGAAATTAGGACTGGAATCCTCAAATTTGCTATTGAGGTCTCTGTGGGCACATGGAATTGAAATGTGGAGATGTTTTTGGAAATGTTTATTATGGGAACTACTGTTCGAAAAGTACACTAATAAATTGAATTAAATTTTGTATTGGGAGAAGGGATAGAGCTTAAACCGAAAAATCAAAATTCCAGCTTTCGAATTCGTCGGGATGTTGATAATTGGTACAACGACGACTCCTAAAGGTAAGGTCACATTGGGCAAATATTTGACGAAAAAGGTGAAATATTTCTTTGTCACAATCTGACAACCAAATATTATTTGACGGTAAATACAAAAACAGCTGATTTTGGAAAACAAAATTATTTCCCGGAAAACAAAAATTTGACCAATGTGTCCATAATGTGAACATATATGTTCAATTATTTTCCTATTTTTTGATCAAACATTTATTTGACGGTGCAAATGTTTTGTAAGGTCAAACAAGGAAAATATCAGTTTAATACATTGGGCAGCATTTTGCTTTAACAACAGGAGCATTTGTAGCATGATGTTTAATGAATAGAAAAACAAACGAATGCAATAAGTGGCTTTGTTTATTTGATATTTTTGAACTAACTGAATTTGAATGTTTAGTAAAACATGTGTATATTTGGTCTGTTTCAGAACTGCCAGAATGTAAGGGGTTTTTACTACGATAACCGATTTTCCCTTTATTATATCGAAGAAAATTGCGAAACTAGTAGATTCTTGCAGGTTCTGGAACAGGATATAGGTAGATGCATCAACGCTTGAAACAATGATATGTCAAAAATTTTGAAATGTTTTGACAAAAATAAGTAGATTTTTCTATGTTTCCCTATACGGCGAAAAATCGGAGGTTGCAATAATATATATTTTTCAACAATTTTTACAAATTTCAATAATATTTCATTCATTATTTTCAATTCCAAAATTGTTTTGACAGTTCATTGTCCCAGCAGCTATGTCGATGTAACTACCTGTATTCTTCTACCATGATACAAAAAAAAATGCAAAATAAAATTGTTCTAACAAGGAATTTATTCAACAACAGCTGGTCTTTTGCTTCCCTTCTCCAAATAAATTATACCCGATACTACATTTCCTTTATATCTCTCTTTCACTCTCTCTGTCTATTTCTCTCGGCCAAATAAACTTATGTTTCCTCAAAGTTTGATCAAACAATTTAATGGGAAAATATATTTTACGAATGTGAACATGTGTCGAACATGTTTTCCCATAGCACTGTTTGACGCTGTTTGGTGACTGCTTGAACAAACAAAACCTGTCAAATATTTGACTGTAATGTGAACATCGAATCAACTCTGTATGAATTTCACATTTGTTCAGTCAAATATGGGAAAACAAATTTCGATCAAATATTTGCCCAGTGTGACCGTACCTTAAGTTTTCGTATATGAATAGATTTTTAAAAAATATTTTTTTTTGAATATTTTCTTCAATGTTATTGTTTTGTTAAAAAAAAACTGCCCCGTTCATATTTAAAAAATGTATTTTTTTTAATGATTCCATATTGATTTTGAAATTTTTCAATAAGCAAACGAGTGTTACACGTGCACATTGTTTCGTTAATTACTTTATTGGAACATTTGTTTCGTATATTTACGCAATATTAAAATCGAGGGAAATACCTTGCTGGTTTCACCTCAATATTGATTTTTTAACACAAAAAAAAAACGAGTCTCAAACAGCTGTGAGAACAACACAATTTACAGAAAACAAAAACAAAAGTGGAGTTCGTGGAAATATTTTATTAAAAAAAAGGTATCAGTCGGTTTTGACCACAGATGTATACCCTCAGTTAATGTCCGATTCTTTAAATATATTTTGACTTCTTTTATTATTATTATTCAAACTGCTGATCCTCTACGGAGTAGGTTCCGAAGGAATGGAAAGATAATGACCCTTTGTAGAAATGGGGACTCATTGTAGGTGAAGTACCAGAAGGAGTTTGCATATATTTATGATCTTCCCAACAAATCTTGTGTTAGCAAAAATGTTTAGGTGTGTGAAATTTGAAGAGAGTTGAATGTTTGATTCGCTTTCTTTGAGCGTTTTGTTTTTAAAAATGGTCCGATCTCTAGCATTTTTATAACAGATCCTGTGTTAATGGAAATATTAAGGTATATCAAGTCTGAATGGAATCGGATGTAAACTTCGCGTTTTATGAGATTCATGGATATTCAAAATTTTGACCCTTTTTGGGGGGGTGGTAACAGAAGGAGTGGACCGATATGTCCCATCTTCACAAAAGATCTTGTGTTAGTAGAAATAATGGGATTTGTTAAATATAAAGAGAACCTGATGCTTATTTCGGATTTTATAATCGTTTTGGTCATTTAAAACTTTGACCCTTTGTGTGGGAGGTACCAGAAGAATTGGTCCGATTCCTACTGTCTTTATAACAGATCTTGTGTTGATGGAAATATTGAGGTGTACCAAGTCTGAATGGAATCGGATGTTATTTTCGCGTTTTATGAGGTTTATGGATGTTTAAAGTTTTGAACCTTTGTGGGGGAGGTACCAGAAGGTGTGGACCGATATATTCCATCTTAATACCAGATATTGGGCTTATAAAAATATTGGGATGTGTGAAATTTTAAGAAAATCGGATCCTTACATAAGAGTTATAATTTTTTTAAAATTTTAACCCTTTGTGGGGATGCGCTTGATGGAGTAGACCTATAGTATCCATTTTTGCGCCTGACCGAGAACTGTCGCAAACATTAGGATTTGCAAAGTTAGAGCAAAATCGGATTATTGCTTCTCTTTCTGGGCAGAAAATGTTATTATTATTATTTTTTTTGAAAATTTCGAACTTTTGTGTGGGAGGTACCAGAAGGAGTAGACCGATATTTTCCATCTTAACACCAGACCTTGGGTTAATAAAAATATTGGGATGTGTAAAATTTGAAGACAGTCGGACTCTTACGTCACGTTATATAAGATTTGTAATTATTCAAAATGTTGACCCTTTGCGGGAGAGGTACTCGATGGAGTGAACCTATACTCTCCATTTTCGCACCTGACCTAGAACTGATGCAAATATTAGGATTTGCAAAGTTTGAGCAAAATCGATATATATTTTCTCTTTATGTGCAGAAAATAAATATTTTGAAAATTTCGATCTTTTGTGGCGGAGGTACCAGTAGGAGTAGACCGATATATTCCATCTTAACACCAGATCTTTGGTTAATAAATATATTGGGATGTGTGAAATTTGAAGACAGTCGGACACTTACATCACATTTTATAAGAGTTGTAATTATTCAAAATTTTGACCTTTAGCGGGGGAGGTACTTGATGAAGTGGTCCTATATTCTCCATTTTCGCACCTGACCTTGAACTGATGCTCTTTCTGATCTTTTCTCTTTCTGTGCAGAAAATA